ATTAAAAACTGCAATTTCTCATTTATATTCAAATTGTTAGACACGGAGATAAATTAAAAATGCAAGGGCAGATATGAATCTCAGCCCCATAAATCTTATCCGCGAACTTGGATCTTATCCTCGTTCACAGTAACAACTCAGAAGGAATAAAATGAAAATCTTTGATGTCCCTAAGTTTTACATCGTAAGATGCAGTTTCTATTTAATCGAATTCTGTATCAGGTCTCCCTTATTAAAATTAAGGATGAATCATGAAACGAATAGAAATTCACGATGGCTTCTTGTTTGAATTTCAGCCGGTGGGGTTCGTGACTTTTCACACGAGGGCCGGTGCGGAGGCGGCGAAACAAGACCTACAGGTAATAGCCCGTTTTTCGTAGGTATATCGAGAGAGGAAAAAAATCCAAAAAACGTGACGGGGTCGCTTGATAAAACGCGAGAGCTCCCGCGGGCTCCTTCACAATTACAGCCCGTATACTCCGATACGTAACAGCGTATACGAATATACGCGAAAAACAATGGCCCGCAGGTTTCTCTTCTCCCTCTCTATATGTTTATTTTTTTTTATTTACTCTGATACGAGAAAGTACCACACCCTTGCCTTAGATTCCAGCTGGCACGGGTCAATGCTACGTAGTTCTTTATTTTACCTATTAATTATCATACACGTACACACGATTACCCTATCTATCTATCTCTCTCTCTCTCTCTGTCTCTCTACTTCTCTTCCTGTATTTTTCTATCATACTTCTACCGTACTCGTTAGATTTCCTCCTGAGATCAGCTTCTCCCTGTGTCTTTTCTTTACTTGGGACCTGTGGTACGAGTCGAACGTGTCACACCCCCCCCCCTTTCTTGCCTCTAAAATTATTTCGGTTTTAAATGAAATACAACGTTTTCCGGAAGAGCGTCACATCGGTACAGCCCCCGATCCTTAGTTTCTATCACACCGCCGCAACTGACAACTCACGCAACTTGCAATGTTCTTTACGTAACCCTGTGTAACCGGTTTGTACGTATGTACTTACGTAGGTATGTATGTACCTGTTTAGAGGGACTCGAAACATCCTCTTGTCGGATGGACACGTTCGCTGTGTGAACAGACTAACAAATGACCCACTTCTATCGATAACCACTTAGCCCAACAGACACACGCGTACGATCTTGTGCTAATTACCCTGTAATTCTTCCCCCTCACCCGTCATCCTGTATAGTCACGGACAGATTGTATATGCCGAAACTTTCGTCGCCAGTCGTAATATAATTGAATAGATCCTTTCCATATTCAACGTCCTCGGTGACGTACTGAAAGGTCAATTAATTTTGTAGACTTTGAAAATGCAATTGGGTCTCTCGAATCGATATGACGATTATGAATTGAAGACATCATAGCAAGTTGAAGACATCATAGTTTAAATTTCTTTTCAGTTAGAATTAGAATGGAAATAATGAAATTTTTAAGTACGACGTAAATTTAGTTCGTTAGGTTTGAAATGACGAGAGGCAAATAAATTCGCTGGCGACGCAAGTATGAGAAATGATACCAGACACACACATACACACTGTTCACAGTTAATTGATTTCTGTCCCTCACGAAACATGATCCAAAGCATCCACGTGTGCCTCCCGGTTTACTAATTTAGGGAATCTATTTGCAGCAGGGGGTTAGATTCGATCCTGATATGCCACAAACCATACGTTTGGAATTTGCAAAAAGTAACACAAAGGTTAGCAAACCCAAGCAACCAGCCGCTGCAGCAGCCACCTCGCACCCTGCTCTGATGCACCCTCTAACTGGACGTAAGTATGCACCGCCACTCGTTCACTCGCTGGAATTTACTCTGTCTCTTCACACTGTCTATTGTTCACCCACTGCACCGAACTAGCCCCACCCAAAGCCCTGGCGAACGCTCTTTCATTGAACACGCTGATACTCCTTGATCGATTAGCCGTAACAAAGAATGATGTGAAACATCGGTCGGCGAGTCGGACGAAAATTAGGGAAAATCGGGTGCAGTCGTGAAACTGCATTTTTCACGTATCTCCAATGTGACGTTTGGATTTAGATGTAAAACATGGTTTTCGGATTTACAAGCGTTCACACTTCGTACAACCTGTGTGACTGGAAGGGTGTTTGCCAAGGGTGGTAAAACGTATCTTCCACCCTGTTGTTATACTCTACTACTATTACCGCCTGTCCACTTATCTCGACTACCTCCTCTCGAAGCATCGTACATTTTCTTCAAAAATTTTTTGTTGTTCCATTACTCTCGTCTGACACGGTCCTCGAATTTGGAACCCTTTCCGAGAAATACAGAGCTCGATCAACGAATCGGGCATTGGAAGTGCAGTGACGATGTACTCAGATCTAACAAAATAAACGGCAGTCCGGTTTGACATTGATTCAGCGCGTCAAGAAATCACTCGTTAATAATTTTGATCTCGGACAAAAGAATTTGACGTGTAAAAATGATACGTCCGTACGTGCAACAAACAAAATTCATCAGATTGATAATTTCCAGTTGGCAATTACTCTCGGACGTATGCAGTTATACCGGATGTCTGGCCGAGGCATTAATATCAATTTAATTTCGTTTATCGATATAACAGAATATTCCGCCGCACGGAAACTTCATGACGAATTAATTATCGTACATCCATTGGTGTCCCATGCTCCATCGCGATTCCCTCTCCTCCATCTGTCTATTTTTTTGTTTAGGAATACCTCGCGAAACAATGGATACCAACATTTAACTCTGTCAATCATCCAGTTTCCGGGATGCAGTCGAAAGTAACTGATAATCGAATAATAAAGATGGACAGTGTTACGTTCGTCTGCGTCCCTGTAAACGTTCTGATCGTTAAGTCATTGGTGAAAGAGGCTGGAAAGCTTCAGGACGTAATGTAATTTCTGTTCGTCAGTACGTCATTCGTCTGAATGAAATACTGATCGTCTGGTATGCACCGATCTGACAGTAAACGTTCTAAATAAAGATTGAAGGGAGTAAAGAATGAGAGTTCCTTTCGAGGAAGTTGAGAAGTATCGTTGGTGCAGTGGGTGGAACAAGGAGAATCGAGGATGCTGCCGAGTAGGTAATAGTAGAGAATAAATATATAATCGTACGATAGCTGCCGAGTGACTCGAAATGAGAGACCGGTACGATGAATTTTATTGGCTCGACTACTTCGATCTGAATCCTGTCGATCACCGAGGGAGATAGATGTCGGCTCGGAAATTGACTAAGGTTTTTTATGAAACGCGTCGGGAACCGTAAAACTGGCAGTCGGTCGCGTTTACGCGATTTTTATGGGACATAATGCGCACCGCTGGATACGTGTACCAGCCCGCAGTATCTATTTTTTATTTCCCCCGTTTTTACTACCAACTTTCAAACCGCACCGGCTACATTTCTAATTATTTTTGAAGCAAGTCGTTTCTTAAATTAAAAATATAACGATGAACAAATATTCTCACGGTATGCAATTAAGTAAAAATTGATAAACGGCGGATACAGATATTCGATTTTAATCAGTGCATCAAACGTAATTAATGAACGTAATTGAAGAACAATGACCAGATGCGACGTGTGTCTGAAGTAATGAGCGCAGCTGCGCAACGACTGCCAAGGAAACTGTGCGTTTTAATTAGCAGATAATGAGGAACGAAATTTTCGGTGATCGGGTATAAGAAGCCTCGCGTCTGCGTTCAACTATCGGTGAACTATCCCGAAGAAACCCCTCCTTGGCACAGTAAGGGTGGTCTCAAATTCGTGATCGATACCATACGTTTCTCTACTCAATTAATATAATTAACCATCCTCTAACCGTTATCCCTCCACTTTTTTAAGGTAATCTGTTTTATCTAAGCCAATTATCTAAGGTTCTTAACTTAACCAACATAGAAATTACTGCGCCAGATTATTCGAATAACTAAAACTCTTGTCCCTTCATTGGAGTTATTAAACAAACAATTTATCAAACAAACGAATAAATAATTGATTACTCGCATTCCGTCACTGGTTCGAGTCGAACTAGAATGAATCAAGAGAAGCTGAACACGCGTGGTGCAGTGCTCGTGAATAAAGTATATGAGGCGGAAGCGAAGTACCGCAAAGTCGAGGCGTGAAAACGGAATCTTCGCGCGTTCAATATTATTAGGTGAATGAAAATTCGAACAGGGAAAATCAGATCTTGAAGAATTCTATTATTCCGATCATTGATCAGTCGAAGAGAATCGAATTGGACTCGGTTCACCGATTGTAACACCCGTCTCGAGGGCTGAAAATGTGATCAGAAAATTGAGATAAGATTCGAGTCGATGAACTTCGTGTAGAGTGTCTTAAATTTTTGTTCGCTCGAAGAAAGTATATTGTTCAGGACGTATATACGTTGAGAGACTTGGAAACGGGTGTTCAGAATTTCCTATCGGATAAAAATAAAGGTAACCCGGCGCCGTTTAAAGGAATATCGACAGTATAATTGAAACGTCAATTCCTGTAGACCGTCGATGTTTGGAAAACGTCGAACGGACCGATACACAGTAGCTGACCGATGTAGAAAAATCGCGCTCTCTGTGCACGTGCGTTGAAACGCAAAAATTGCTTCGAACAGCGCCGGGATCTGTGAATGGAATATAATGCACGCGGCTCTCGGCACGAAGCAATAATCGTGTCTCTTCGAAAAGTCCCACAGTCTGAGCGAAAATTGATCCAGGCCGCGATTTTTATAGAATTCAAATTGTCGTCTTCGCGGCGTCAGAGGTGTTTAATTTAAAGATCGATTCAAGACTACTCCGAATCATCGAACCCTGAGCACCTATTTAATAACGTGGAATAAACTTCGTTATTCTGCGAGCACATTCCGTGCTAGTAAAATTCTTAAGGCGTTAAAGATATGACCGACTTAAAGTATTGTACTTATACTGAGCCGTATAATAACTTTTTGTGGTCACTGTACGTAGCGAGGAATGCACCGCTGCATTCTCGTAGGAAAATTGCACGGATGGCTGAGTTTTCGCACGCCACAAGGTGAAACTGTTTCGCATAGCGAAGGTTCTTCCACATACTGGGTGTCGCGTTCAAATTCATCGACGTAATTATACCTTGTGAACTCGTGTGAAGAGAACGATTGAAACAGGACGTCCTCTTCTCACCAAGAAAAACGTGCAAGTTTCTTAGTAATTGCTGTAGCCAAGCGAGCAAACATCTATCGAGATCAAATTCTGTATCTCGTTTATTCAAAGACTCAGTTGCATCCTCAGTTTAAATTGTTTAGAATATTATTTATGAGGCAAGTCGATTTGTAAAGATGTCGCACGAGTCTTAACGACAATATCGGATTTCCCGTACTTGACGAAACAAAGGTATCTCGTGAGTGGAGCCTGCACCTCGTTCTTCCACTCTAGATACGCTCAATACCGTCCGCCGTTAACGAGTGCGTTAACTAAACATTTTATTTAATGTCGCCTGCGCTCGTCCATCGCGGAAAAAATAGCAACCGATCGATCGCCGCCTCGTTCTTTCCTAATTCCCCGTGTTTCATGCAACGCTGACGTTCTTTTTATCGTCTACTTCGCGATTATTCAGTAGAAAAATTCTTTGCTGTTCCATAATTTCATTAAAATTTCTAATGTCAATAAATCGAAATAATTTCGAAGTGCAGAGTCTCGCATAAAAGGAGATCAACAAGTCGAACAATGCAAATCTCTCAATTACTGTTCCATTCGTATTTTGTGTTTTAGAGTAGAAAAATTAAGCTTGAACCTGAACGATCGATTAGCAGGAACGATGTAAAAGTTATTAAAATGCGAGGAATTTATTAGAGGATCGAGTGCAAGTAGCGAAGGAACGGGTTGCACAGTGGAGGAGGGAAAATCGTTGACGAAGTAGTAAAGTAGTCGCGTTTTCGCCGGAGGTTACGGGTTCGCCGTGGGGATCGCGGGGTCAGCCTAAAATCAATAAAGTGCAAGGTCCTGCCACGTACGAAAAGCCTAGGCGCGCGGCTGTGTGGTAAAAACCTTGCGCCCGTCCAGGTGCGACGCGCCACTCAATTATTTACCGTTTCCCAGCTGTTTTTTTCCATCGAGCCTTCAAAAAGAATTCGAGCCGTCCACGTATGCACCGTATCACAGACTTTCCTGTTTCGGAACAAAAAAGTTTCCCTATTATTCCTCGAACGTAAACTGGAAACTCTACGGGTTCGATCGAACACGGAGAACGCATGCGAAGTATAAAAATATGCATCATTTTTTAAGGGCGAGCATCGGCACAGATTTAAATTCGTATAACGAGAGTTTTGCATAAATACCTACGTAAACTTGTGCCAGCGTTGCATTTCAATTCTTCGGTTTTACTATGTAAATCGTCGAGTCGGAGAAATTCAACGCGTTGCTATTTATTGTATTTATGATTAGGCGTGGAACACGTTGCGTGCTCGAGGTATTTTTGGGTCGGCCGATTTTATCGCTCGATAAATTATGCCCCGAGCTCGTGAACTTTGTTAATAAAAAGGACTGGAGATTTCTCTTCTTCAACGTATCTGATTTTCAGAAGCTAAATATGTAAGTAGCAAATAAAATTATGAATAAAACTCCCGATCGTATTTTAGCAGAGAGCTTTGAAAATATATTTGGTTCAGGTAAACGAAGTTTGTCTTCCGACGAATAAGACGAAACTTTCGTTTGACCGAATCAGTGAGTGCTCGTTTCAATCGTTGTCGACTACTCTCAGCCTGCAGGAAAATGAATCGGCTTTAATTATATTAGCAATTAGATTCGCGTTTCTTTTGCTCGCGCGTGCGAGGTAAGAAGAAGGATTAGGTATTATGAAAGAATTTCACGGGTTAGATGTTCCTTGGAACATGAAGAAGGCAGCTAATTAGGAAGCCAGATCGTGATCGCTGGCGTACAAAAGACGATGCTATGTTTTTTCCACCCGGTCTCTCATTGCCCGTTCCAGATATGGTATCTTACTACTGCACCCGTGGGCGAGACGGAGGGGGTGCTATTAAAAATTCATAAAAGAAGCTCGTTAACCGGGGCCGGGCTCGCTAACGACACGTAATTAGCTGATTATCAAAATCGTTAACATTCAGCCGCGAGATTTAATGGCTCTTAATAAGAAAGGGAATTCTCAAACGTACCCGAGGAACGCGTTCCGTCCACTGGTTATTGTTCGACGATGTTCTCCGTCGAGTAGAATTTTATTAGTGCAGAAAAGTTTCGAAACGATAATCGCGCGAAGTTAACGGGGACGATCCAAAGTGGGACAGTGGGATTAATCGATAGACCCTGAATACTTCGCATCGTGAGACTCGAAACGAATCGTACCAATGATCGTACCTATCGATCTTCAACTCATAGAGTCATCGTTCGACGATTTGCGAACAGTGGTACAACGGAATTGTTAGAAAAATCGTGGGATCGTTAAAGGCACGAACGGGGCCAGAAAAGTCCGCGGTTCGCCGCGATCTCCATAAATCACACGCGATAGAATCGAGTTTCGTACGAAACTTCGAACCGTGCAACAAAAGCGCACGAAAAGAATCGTTGCTTTTTTTAAAGCTCGTGCAAGAAAATGATTAATTATTATAGGGAACTCGAGAGACGTGTCGCGAGCCAAATCTTTTGACCCGATCTTGTCGCAAAGTTCTGCGAAAAAGAATTTCAACGTTAGCAACGGTCGTCATAAAAAAATTGATACCACTTTTAACGAATCTGAATTCTTGACAATTGGTCGGTTTCGTCACCCTCTCTGTCGATCTGTATTAGTGATACAAATGAATCTTTACGACGATCGTGAATTGTATGAAAGAAGATGGTTGAAGAATCGCGACCACTTGCACGGTTTTTCTGGAGTAATTGCCGTTTCGTGACGTATCGCCGGCCACAAACGGCGCCGATTTTCATTGATTCCGCCACCGCGGAACCGCCAGACGTCTCCCCGCTCTCCTCGGGCCTCGTCACCGCGAATATAATACGTGTGCAACCGCTCGAGCACTTCCGGTTCGCTAGGGGGAACAGACGAAGGTAAAGAAGAGCGAAGACTCAAAGGGGAGCCGATGTAATTCCGAGGCAAACGATGTACTCGCCCCAAAAACCCTTCTTACTTTCTCTTTCGCACCTGACACGGACAAAAGGCATAGATTTCTAAATAGAATGTTCATCTTCCACAAACGAAGTTTGACAATGAATAAACAAATAAAATACTCTTAACGAATTGAGTAATTTTGATTAAGAATCGAAGGCAGCATCCTCGATTTGGTGAAATAATTCTATAAGTCAAAATTTAGTAAGACGATATCATTCTGTTCAAAAATGGTATAACAATATTACCGCAATAGAATCTGTGACCCGTTCGCTGGAGATGTTCAGTGAATTTCAAGTGAACCGATCGAATAAAATATCCTCGTAGTCATTGCGTCGAGAAAGATTTAATAATAAACACTATGAAATTGCACTGTCAATGAATTAAACACCTCGATTTGACAAAATAATTCCATAAGTCGACGTAATGCTACTCTTGGTCAGATATAATAATACTACTCTTTCGAAAATTGAGGTAGGCAATTATTGAACGCGTTCCGACTCGCGATTTCCAAGAAATTCGTATTCCGCTCTTTGCAACGATTACGTACAACGATCGTATCGCGCTATTACGTAATTTCTTCGCAGATCTTGATATTGTTCGGTACAGTGGTGTAGGAACTTGTGACCCAACGTGAAACGTAACGTACCGACCACGACCGACATAATTTCAGTATAAGGTTTCAGTAAATTACATACATCTCTCGTTTAATTCAATTCGTAATTACAAATGATCGATCGCACCTTTTATACGCGATGTTATGTCGTTTCGACAATTTACATCGTTCGATACGATACAGCTGATTGCACGTGGTTTATTTAATTCTCGTTACAAGAATTTTGTACTACTACTACTGTAGTAACAATCAGAGGATATGAAATCCGTGTCTCTTTGTTTATATAAAACGAATTATGAACAGATTACAGGCACGACAGCGAAAGGTTTCATCTTTTAAATCGATGCATAAGAATTCACGGTCTAATCATTAAATAAGTTCGTACACCACTTTATACAGGATGGATCAGTAAGAAATATCATTTGAAATTATTTAATAGTCATTGATTTCATTGTAATCTCACAGAGAAAGATCTTAATCAGAATGTACGTACGTATTTATTTAATGATCTTCATTTAAATCGTACACTGTGCGTTGCGATAAGATCATTAGTTAAGAACATATTGAGATAAAGTTATTCTCTATGATATTTCTTATTGCAAAGAATTTTTAATTTGTATCGTTTCGTCAATTAGGAGACTAAATGAGCCGCGGATGTTTTAATTGTTTGTTCTATTGCAGACCTAGGGAGCCCGTTCTTCCCTGGTGGTCCTGAATTGTGGCACCATCCACTGGCATACTCAACCGCTGGCGAATTACCCGGCACGCTTCAACACGCGACGCTGGTCCATCCGGCGTTACATCCTCAGGTCCCCGTACGTTCCTATCTTTGACTATCTGCAGACAAAGCTCTGGAGCCGCCGACGAGCGCCCCGATGCACGTTAGTGATACATGATCGATTACTATACGATTACGTTAATGTTAGCTAGAACGGTACCAGCGTTGCACGGCTCGAATCCGGCGTAAACCCTGTTCCGATACTGTCCTCTCTGAATAATTCTGTAAACGATTCTATCACAGTCACGGTGCTACGGTTTCTCCACAGAATTCGTGACGTCGATCAACGAGACGTACTTCAGGATTATAAATTAGCATACAGAGTCTATATTTTCTAAATGCATCGAATCCGCGGTCTACTAATAAGTGAAATAATATCGAGTTTTGGGTTCCGTCGTTTCGAGGCATAAAAATATTTGTCGACTCGTCTGATTGTTTCTTTTAACGGAATTTTCTGGTTGCTACGGGACAGTATTCGAACAGATTATGCCAGAGATTGAAAAAGTGGAAATGGAAATGAAACAGGAGTCGGTACCTCGCGAGGCTGTTGAAACAAAGTTGGAGAACAGCTCGCGGTATTCGATATCGATCTTGAACAACCTCGAGAGGTTTGGTCGCGGAAGTTAATTAAGAGTTAATTATCGCGACGATTTTCAAGTACGAAGTAAATAAGAACGTTGTTACTTTATCGTTTTCCTTCCGGTATATTCGAACGAGAATCGAGAAGTACGTGCCGGTATCTGGCCGAGTAGGAACGATGCTGGCACGGCCGGGTACGAATCGGGCAAACAGCTAGCAGCTATTGATTTTTAATATCGCCTAGTCCTGTGCCAGGTTCACGCCGGGTACCTATCACGCACGAACCTCGAAAATCCAGCTCGTCTTCCTTTCCCTGTGACAAAACGTCAGCGAATGTCGTCCCTCTTCAAATTAAAAACGAGGCTCGATAGATTTTATGATGGAAAGAATATGCTTCCTTTGGCAGAATTCAACTTGTACAGTTCACGCCAAATGATCTCTCTGCTGTGGAGCAATCGACAGATAATTAAAAAGTTTTCCGATTAACCCTGGCTGCGTTCTGTCGAATAGACGCATGGACAAACGCTGACGTTGTCCACGTCGACGACGAACGAATAAATACGAACGTTTATTTAATATCTCGACGCGAGAGGAATCCGTTTCAACTGGGAGCGGTAAATACTCTACTCGAAGCGAAATAAAAATGTTTCGCGAGATCCACTTAACGTGATAATGAAGCGGAAACCCGGCTAAATACAGAATATTTCACTCGCCAACTTTACATTCTCCATCCGTTTTAAAAACGAACCCGTGATTCTCCTAACTCCATTCAGAGCAACGAAAAAGTACGGCCGGGTTTGCATAGAAAACTGAGATATCCGCTTCACCGTTTATAATTTAAAACTGTTGTCATTTTCATTGAGCATTCGTACCCGTTGAATACGTACGTATTTTATCTGACGAAAAAACGGAGAAATATAGTTAGTTTACGAGTGTAAATTGTTCGCTCAGAAGTCGGTCAAAAGCGTGTAAGAATTATCTGAGAATCGTTGGATATTATTTTGCGAATGGTAAGAACTTTCGATGAAAGTCGTGGAGCGAAGGATCGAAGAGGACTTGGAAATCGGTTCCGCAACGAAAGAAAACGTATGAATCCGTGGGGCAATACAGGATTTCAGAGGCAAGTAGCGCAATGTATAATTGCGCCGACGTTGTGCTGGCAGCCGCGCGTGTCAGAAAAATGAAATTAAAAATTAATTACGCGATTCACCGGCGAAAATAATAGGAAATTCCTGGCGGCAAACAATTTCTTTAATACACGTACGTGTTCACGTCTGAAGTTCAAATCAGAGTTTTATTCTCCCTGTCATAATATCGTCGATAGGAAATGAATTAGTAACGTGGAATGCCGAGAACGAGGAATACGCGAATGAGTAATACAGAATGGTAAATTCGGATGCAATTAAAGCTGGTACGATGAGATGATTTCGGGATAAATAATCCGTCCGGGGCGTAAATATCGCGATAAGTTCGATCGTTAATCGCGGGCCAGTTCGTTCGGTGTTGACGCCCGAATTACGGGCGCATACGTATTTTAACACGGTCCTCGCGTTAATTAATCCACGCTCCCGCAACTCGGTCACGGACTCTGCTTTCAATGGTACCGGTTCACGTCGTTACGATGATCGCGTCTAAATTATAGACACGTCCACCGCAGTATTAGGCGATGTTAAAATATCATCCGACGAAACATTTTCCTATTCGAGACGTTCTCGTCACGTGGAAAGGAATATATGTATATATATACACACATACATACTTGCATGTGTTTTTAGTAGACTTTTGTGGGAAGATTTGAATAAGTTTGTGAAAAGATGTAAAATGTGAATGTCTCCGTTACTTTTCGAGGATGTGAAAACGCTCCAGGATTTGAAAGGACGAGCGTGACGTCAACTCGACCCAGAATCGGGATTCGTGTACTTAGTTAATTAACTTCCTTAGAATTTAAGAAGCCTTATTTAGTATCATGTCTGATACGCATTCCTTGTGTTATTCGAATTGTCTCGGTGATCGTATCAAGATTTCTGGGACGTATGCTCGAACGTTCGAGTGATCGTTCGATAAATAAAAAAAAATTTATGAAATTCTGAACACACATCGTTCACGGAAAGAAACGACGGAGACGTTTGCGATGCTAAGAATCGAGCGAACGGGGAAAGTCTGCGAAGGTGGTTGAGAATCGTTTTTCTTTTTTACAGGCGCCAATGTCTCTGCCGCATCCAACGACGCTGACGTCGATACACGCGACGCTACCCCATTTCCTACCCTCGCCGGCACTGGCATCGCCGGTCGGCTCGCCCTCGTCGCAGCCGAACATAGCCGTGAGCAACGCGCCCTGCTCGACCCTCTTCGTGGCGAACCTCAGCCAGTTCGTGTCCGAGCACGAGCTAAAGGACATGTTCAGCAGGTCAGAAAAACAGATGTACTAAAAACGATCTCGTCACGAAACGTGTTCGATCGAGCCGTAAACTGTTTGATCACCTCGAGACGCATACTCGAGTCTGTTTAAAAAGAAAACTACGATTCTATATATACGATTTATTTTATATTTATGCATCTCGAATAGATTTTGAGATTCGTGGACACGAGATTCGCGTTTAGAACCTGGTCTCAAAGGACCGGAGATAAGAACGTTTCGTAGGTTCTCTTTGGCATTTCTTCCGTTCCGTTGAAATATGGAAATGATTCGAAACTCTCTTAAGCCGGTAGCGCGCTCGGCGTGCACATAATGCATAACGTACGCCGAAAACTGTAGACGTAGTCGAGCTCGGCGCGAACGCGTGTAATTAACTCGGGCAGCTACTTGCGAATTCATACGTGGAACCCCGGGATCCACGGCGTAACGAGATTCCACCTAATTATACGAGAGGAGAAGGACTCCGCGACTCTCCTCGTCTCCGTTCCCTGGGATAAGACGAATCAATCGAACTCTTTCGGGCACGGTTGGCCAGTCCCTTTACACCGGACGCTGTTGGCACGTGACCAACTGACGTTTAATCAGACTTTATCAACTAGTAAAAGTCGATGCTAATTTAATTATCGTAAAAGGGTGATCTGTCAGATTTCTCGTTCTTACGCGAAGATGGGCCATCGATCCTTCGAACATGTCGAATGATTCTCAACGTCTTGCGACCACACAAAATCTCGTTACGTTCCAACGGGAACATCGACTCAAGTGCACGTCTGTGAAAATTATTCTACGCGAAACGTTATTATTGATAAAATATTTATAGCCGAGACACCGAAACGATGCAATTACATTGGAAACGTTCGCGTTATTAGTAAAATATTTGAATATACCGAAGCGATGCAAAGGTCGTCCCATTCCGTGGCTGAAAGAGTTAACTGGGGAGAGTGTATTTGTCCCGGGAAGAGAAGCGTCGCGGTTTTCATTCCCGCGGGCAATTCCAGCGGCGATGCGAAAGTGGGGAATCGATACCGACACGCTGCGTCGGATACGAATTGACCGACGTCATATTCCAGTTCATTCATCGCGATACGAGGAAACTTTGCCCCGCAGTTTCACGTATAAAATCGAGTCAATGGTATCCCAATCCTGTTTACACCCTCCCTCCTGCGATCCTTATTTCTGGATGTATCGCACATGTATCATAGTACACGTTATCCGTCTCTACTCGGTTCCCTGCGTTTCAACTATTTTTATAATTCCATTTCGAGAGTTTCGTTGAACGTCGTTCTGTTTCGAAACAGAATTACAGATAATTGAGATTTGCATTAAACAATCTGGAATAGGAACTATATTGATGCAAGCTCGCTCACTTTGGTGCCTTGAATATTGAATAAAATTTTCAAACAGAATTATAAACAGACAGAAAATTGTCCAGCTTTTTCGTCGGTATAATATCTACAGGAACGCGTGCAACTTTTCCAAGTGTAACCAGGCCACGGTTGAATGAACTGGAAACGACGGATTCACGGCTGTGAAAACAATTACGTAGCTAGGAATTTAAGAGAATGATATAGGTCAGCGCCGAATCAGCCGCGTTTCCTCTCCGTCTATGCACACGATCATACCTACGCGTCCTTAACATTCGCCGGCGAACGTTCTATCTGTACATACATCGATCCCTTGGAACGAGAACTACCGACTCTCTGAACGTGAATCTTCTTACGAGAGCCAGCGTTAAAACCGATTCAGATAAAACTTAATTTTTTATAACTACCGACGATCACAGAAAGTCTTAAAATAGGAACGAATAACAAGTAGAAGAGGAAAATCTGTTCGCTGTAATGAATTCTTATAACGAATCTGTCACACATTAAGGTCGCATGAGCCTTCAATATTTGAAGCAATGAACTTTTAGAAAAAATTATTATTACAGAGGAGTCAGGTTTGTAAAATCGTTCGACCTATTTTTCTCGGTCATAAGGAATCTTTCAAGCATATTCTATTAAAATTAAAAAATTCTGTCATCGCTGCATTCATATCTTTTCATAAGTGAAATCAAAATTCTGTCGTTCGACATAAGAATTCAATAAATATTTTTAATAGGCTCGCGAAATTTCTGAAATTTCGTACATTGTTTTATTAATAAAAATAATCTAGTAACTGTTAAAATTTCAATGGTTTGTCAATGTTGTTATGTAAGGGTTCATACAATCTTAAAAGGTCCAGTTCGTCCGACATAGAACGACTCGTGAAACACTTGATAACATCCTGAGATTGATTGTTCTCGTTTTAAGACGTCCGTACGTAAAGTGGGTAAAAGCGAAAATCGAGGCTCGTCGAGTGGTCGTTTGAGAAACGAATTAACAGCACCGCCTCCAAGAACTGTGTATCACTCTAACATCCGCTGATTCATTTTTCGCCACCAGTCGTAGCTCGTAGCCGTAAAGACGCACGTATGCTAGTTCACCCGTAACCGTAATTTACCAGTACCGAGATACCTAGTGGCATTGATCGACACATCGTACACTGACACGCTGTTCATCGCACACGGTGTTGCGAGTAACCAGTGAACGAGCGCGATCTTCACGAGTGCACGTCGAAGACTTCTCATATCGTTTTCGTACGATCGAACGTTTGAAAGTACGATATGCGGGTAATGATCATGACTCGTGAACGAAACGAACATTCAGCCTTTGGTCATTAATTTCCCTGATCGCAATAACGTTTGTCGCTCGATATTCGCATACAAATATAAAAATCCGGGCAGCCGAACGACACATTTAAATGTGCATATTGGACAAATGTAAATACCGCGACGAAAAGCATGTTCCAAAGAGAGCCATGATTGAAACATAGATCTGTTCGGCTTTTGAATATTCCTGGAGACGTTTGATCGTGCGTCGTGGAATCGACGAATGGAATCTGAGACACGACGAAACTGGATTTCTTCTAATCCGAGGAAGGAGCGAAAGTGTTGGAAGAAATTCGGTACGGGTGCACGAAGCCTGGCCGTAAATCGAGCGTAATCGATATCGATACCGCCATTAATGGCGTGTCCCGGTCGGGGATCGATCGGTACCGAGTTATAAATTTCTGGTAATCGGTCTTTGGCACACGCCAAAACGACCTAAATCAACCGTACCCATTAATGCTCGATTCGAATCGTGGAAATTACGATGAAATTAGTTTGATCCGACGAAACGTCTTTCCTGGCACCGTTCTCTCGATACCATGGAATCTCGCCCGATGTCGATTATATTTGAAACGAACGAGCGAACGACGAGTCGTTGAACGGGATCGCGAGGCGAAGCATGGGATCAGTGACGGAAAAGAAAATTGTGACCAACAGCGTCCTGTCCCTGATAACTAAAAAAACGTCGGAACAAAGGAAACAATGTCACGATGCCTCGTTTCACTGTTTAATCAGCGACACCGGATTCTCGGGAAGCGAAACTACACAGACACGAACAGAGAGAGAGGACAAGCTGAATACACGTGTACGCGGGCCCTTCTGTTTTAACCGGAGTACCGTCTGTCATAACTAACTAGAGCACGTATTGTACGCTTCTCTTATTTATGCACAGTTTTCCTGGTTTCTCCCGGCTTCGTATGCACACGAAGGGAGGGTCGCCAGTGGCCTTCGTCGAATACCAAGACGTTCGCTACGCGGCCCAGGCGATGGCCACTCTCCAAGGATCCTTTCTCCTCTCCTCCGACCGGGGAGCAATACGAATCGAATATGCAAAGTCAAAAATGGCCGAGGTGGGCTTTACAAATCTCTGGATCGAAGTAGGTTTCATTTTATGCTAACGCTCTAGCCGCTACGAAACCAACACAGATTTGATTTGTACGGACACGCGAATCTTCGACGAAAACGCAGCACCCTGTGTGTCTCTCTCTTTCTCATCTACCCTCCGGTCCCTTCGCAGAACGTCCCGTTTGATCGACGAACTCGACGATCTTTCACGGCCGTTGCATTCGTAATTTTAATCACGCGACGAAATATTCTCTTTCATTCGTAATGCGTCCAAGATCATTTTCAGTCAGACAGGCGTCAGATCGAAAGAGTCACGAGTAGACCGCGTATTTGACAAACTCATGAAAAACTTCGTGAAAACGTAATGAACACGTTTAATGCGCGATTCACGAGTACGTATCATTGTTCCGAGGGATAAGAGGGATTTATCCATCGGTCGATCGGCGGTCTGACTTGACATAAAAATCCGTAATGTTTCTTCGATCGCTCCAATCGTTCGTCCCCCCGGCACTGACTCGCGATCTACCATTTGACCCCGAACGTGGCGAACCATCGTCGATTCCAATGCGGCACGTGGCACAGAGCCTGCGTTTTCGTTGACGGATCGCGGGAGAATTACCGTGGGGAGCCGGGAGTCGAAATGCCTCTGGAAGGAACGAGGATCTCGTCGTTACACTTTCACGCCCACCCTCCATTACGTACCGTAGGGTTTTGTCCACGTCGTTCTTCGCCTCGCTCCGTTCGCTCTCCTCTCACGCATTCCGCCTGGCAATGATACTTCCCGGGACGAGATCGTCCACTGAATTTTTCTGCACGGATCTCGCGAGAGTCGCTCCGGCACGCGTTATACAGTATTTTAAGAGATTAAAGGAACACCGAGAAATTGGCTGACCGAAAAGAATGTACGAAACGTACATACGAAACGTACTCGGCTATGAACGAATCTGTCCTGCGAGAATACGTTTCCCAGGGAGTAGCATTGCTGGAGGCATGGCACGTAACATCTGTAAATACCGTTCCACTTTCCCGAGACCGTTCAGAGGCATTTGAACCACGGCTCCCTACAGAGTGCAGTGGCCTCAGCGACGCCGATTGACCCGTCCGATCTCGATCGATCACACTTTCGTCGGTCCTTGAGACGTGTTTTCAGATTAGTCGGAATCGATCGCCGAGGCCACGGGCATTAGCACCAGTTTTATCTGCCGCTAATCGCCTATGAATCGCGTTTCTATGAATTATCTTAAAATTGCCGGCGGAAAATTTATTCGATCGTCGATTCCATTCCCGAGTCCCTGTTACGTCACTTTCATGCAAGCTTCTGATCTCGTGGATGTGCGTGGCGCTCGTTTATCATTGCTGAAATCCTGTCTGTGTTCCGCCGAATGCACCTCGCTTCTCATGATTCTCAAAGTTTTGGGGAAGGTCGAGTACGGATCGAAGAGAACGATGAATATAAGTTGAGATCGAGTCGAATGAAAATGTTCGCCCTTTGACGTTCGTAAGAACAGGAGTCGAACGATGGAAAATCGTCCCTAAACGATTTCCCATCGTTGAACGGGATCGGAAACTATTTGCACCGTTTCATTTGGAACAATATTTAAATACTATTTACCATCGGAACCGGTACAGAGATAAATACAGGAGATACGCGGGGGCCGTCTCTGGCTTTACGTTTGTATAACGGGGATTTGTCAGTGAATCGGATTAAAGGAGTGGAAAGATCTAGCTGAAAACGGGAATAAAGATCACAAAGGCTCGCTGGGTACAAAGAGGTCCGCGTGCCAGTAGATTTCTGAAGCGACGTCGCGGCGTATGTCATCGCGAGAGTCCTTACAATAACTTCTCGTATCATTGTTGAACGTATCCGGATCGGTTCTCGATCCCCTTTCGCTACGGTCCTAATTTAATACCATTTCCAGCGCAAACACAGTTTGTCGTTCGAAGTAAAAACCGTATCGCACGTATTCCTTGAAATCAGCTTACATTAAACTTTTAGATTTATCGTGTATACAGGGTGTACCAGAAAAATTGTCAGCGCCGAAAAGGAGTGATTCTGCAAGTGTTTCTGAATAACAATTACCTTCGGTCAAATACAAACTGAGCCGTGGTTTTTGAATTTGAGAAACACTTACAGAATCACTTCTCTTCGGCTCTGACATTTTTTCTGGGACACCATGTATAAAGCGTTGAGAGCCTCGATGATCGAACGATCGATACGATAGTGTGAACCAAGTGTCGCGAGATTAGAACGACGAGTAAAATTGAATAAAAAAAAAAGATCTACAATAATGGAATGATCGAAACGAAAAATAGAACGAATGGAACAGCAGTTAAAATTGATGATAAGCGAAGTAACGATTTTGTGACGAAATTGGAAAAATAGTTATGACGAAAATCAGATGTAGGTCAGAAGAAGGGAACGGTCCTCGCGAAAATAGGATTCGATCGAGGCAGTGGTAAAAACGGGCCACACCGACCTTCCCCGTCGCTAGGCGAAATTAGAGGTGATCGATAGAATCTGCTTTGGGGCTACGTGGCTGGTACGAAACGCATCATCACTAATTCATTTCGCTTAAGGTGGTTCTCGCAAAAAAGTTTTATAAATCGACCATGATTTTATCTGAGTGTTCTAAACGCTCCTAAGCCGTTCGCTCACAGAATTTCAATTTCCCGCAAAGTCCGACGTCGAGCTTTGACGGAATTAACAAAAGAGTATCGATGACGCTGTTTCCACAGCACGGTTCCGTTTGATCGTTCGATTGAAATGAGAACGAGGATTTTGTAGAGGTTTCAACAACCTTTATGATCCTTTATACGCATTTGACACGACGAAAGGAGGAGAGCCACCTTAAACTTGGGAAGACGGACGTGGCTGCCGAAGGGAACGTCCGACGTATTAGAACCGCTTTTTTCTCTCTTATATCCTATTTATCTTTCTCTGTCCTTTGATCTCTCGGTGAATGAAAAAAGTCTCGCGAATATTTTCTTTCATTCCATGGGATCTCTCCGTTTGAAAATACGAGAAACCGTGAGGGAGAGGGAGAGAGAGAGACGGGATGTAAAAGAGAGCTTTTCAGCCCCGGACGCAGTCACTGCCTAATGAGGTACGTAAATTACTCAATGGCAAGGCGTTTCTTCTTCTACGCGTTCCCGGGGTAAAGGGACCAAATGTAGGTTGTGTCTCTTGCTTTTCGTTCCTTGGGACAATGACGGGATTCATTAAAAAACGCGACGCGATATCCCATCCTCCCCCTCTGCCTCTACTCGAGAGATCCGCTGGTCGACCGTTTAAATTCTTATTATTTCGCAATAACGCGACTGATACGATCGGAACGATTTATCAGGAGGATTGTAATTAGGAGAGTCACGAGTAGATTGCGGATTTTTTCTTGTAAAACGGTCCGTAGTAAGTATCGCGATTTGTGCATGCGGCTTCTGGTACTTCAATTTTTCGATCCTTTTAATTGTTTATACTTGATTCGTATTTATATTGAATTCGTAAAATCCGCAGTCTAACGATCAGTACGTTTAAACGGACAATTTTCTTTCGAATCATGTTGTACGTCGATGTACGTTTGAAATTGTTCTGATTGAACCGATGATGATTCCAGGGATCAAAGAGAGAAGAAAACGGGCAACCTTAAGATCGACATCAACGGGATGTAAAGGGATCGGGGCGAGGGAAGACCATGCGTGCTCGACGCCCCGTTTCTCGACGATCGGGACTCGACGTTTCCGTAAACGGAATCGTCGACGAAGCGAAGAGAGGAGAGAGCGCAGGACACGAACAAGAGTCCAGGGAGAGGGTAGAGGAGAAAAAATGTTAAAAAAGAGCGTTCACGTATGTACACATACACACACACACACACACACACACACGAGAGGAAGGACGAAGATCGGGCGTCGGAACGGAGACGAGAGACAGGGGTTTTGTCTATGTGTACGTGATTGTCTCACGGACGCAGCAACGGTAGGGATATTGAAATTCATGTAAATCGCGCGGCATTTCAAATTCGCGACTCGCAGGGGGCCCAAGATATAATCGCGCATATGATATTCCTAGGTATATATATTTTTTAACGACTTAACTCATCGATCTATTTCGATTAGCCGTCTACTACCTTGTCTATTTATTTTCCACCGAGTCTTGATCGCGGTAAACGACGAAGCGACACGAATTAACGAATCCAAATGAAACACACACGTTGTCACACACAGACGCACGGCTATCGTTCATAACTCCTTTCCATCGGACTAGCCGGAGAACTGTAATTTCAATCAATCTCACATGAGGGAACAAGAAGATTCGTAACGTCGATCACTGTCGAGAATAACAGAGAAAATGCGTCGATCCAGGAACGTATGAACGGTAACGTGTAAATGATTTTTTTTTTATCACACACGTACACATCCAGAGAGGCAAACGTGAGACAGAGGCACTATCGAAATCACACGCGCACGCACGTAGCGTTAATACTTGTTCACACGTACACACAGAGAGAGAGAGAGAGAGTCGCGAAAGATTGATTTAGGAAAATCGAGCCCCGCGCTGTTTTCGAAAAAATTTCGGGTGAAACCAAACGGGGTGGACGGGCTCCTCCTCGTAGGACGACAGACAACGCAGTCATTTCCCGGAGAGACAGAGTAGTTTTAACTGTTAACTGGGTCGTCCGACGGATCAGAGTTTAAAGTAATTAGAAAATGGAGATGGGAAATTCTATTTTGTAAGAATTGACGAGGGCGGATCGATGATGTCAGAAGAACAGAGTTTAAACTTTAGGCATGTGAAAAATTCTAACGTGTACAGGTGAAGTTGAAAGTAGAAAACCGAATTATAAGAGTTAAGTGTTTACCGCCCAATTAACAGATTAAAATCGTTGGCCAGCTTCGGTGACGCGAGGGACGCAAATCTCGACGAGGGAGTAGAACGAAACCGCGCGGCGGCTCGCTTAAAAATTCTGTAATATAGAATACGAAGAAGAGGATAAGAAAAAAACAAATGAGACGAAGACGAGTACATCAAGCTTAATACCAAAGGTGCCCTAAGAAGCGTGTATTTATGTTTTATCATTGGCGCGTCGCGACGAGCGCGAGCATATATAATTATTATACATTTAATTAATGTATCTTGTTAAGGAGAGTCTAATATCCTAGACGAGAGTGGGCAGTGAACGTGAGAGAGAGAGAGAGAGAGAGAGAGAGAGAGAGAGAGAGAGAGTATGCGTGAACGGGAACCAAACGAGTAAAAAAAAACAAAAGAAAGAAAAAGAAGCGAGGGACGGAGTGAATGATCGCGTTAACTCTACGTAAAGTAATCTTATATACATTATACATAACGAATGCGAACATATCATAGGATTAAGCAGTAGACGGAAGAAAGTTAAAAAAAAAACCGTTCTTTTACTAAAGATATAAACTCGAAGAAAAGAAAAAACAGAAAAAAAATACGATCTGTCTCGGTAATGGCGCGGAGACAAGTCGGAAAACGAGGATCACGAAGGTGGTGGTTGTAGTAGTGGTGGTGGTGGTGTGTCGTGCCCTGCGTGCTAGATAGAGAAACGGCCAACTCGGCACGTAATTTGCCCAAGTGCCTTCCCGTTGGTCGAGTCATGCTGTATATTTCGTATGATCCGTGTGTATTTCATTCGTCTCGTCCCGATTTCAAACGTCGAACCCCTCCCCCTTCTGTCCCGCGGACGACGCGCGGTCGAACGACAGCCGAAGAACCGATCTATGCAATAACGAAAAGATGAACGATCGATCGACATGGCCGTTTGATCGTTCGTCAGATCTTCGATCTGCCACAGAATCCGTAATTAATTTCAAGTTGATTCGACGCTTGGTTTCCTAAAAAAAAAAAAATCTGCCGGTGGTCGTTTCGACTCTGCGGCAGTTCGCGAACGAAACAGGAAGGAATAGTCGCAGTCCTGAATTAACTCCAGGAGACGCTTCTGACTAAACTCTATGTACTAAAGATATAACCGAGAAACTGTTCGAGCCTGCCTGATAGTTTTCTATCGCCTCGTCGTTTTCTACTTAGCCCTGTATCTCCTCGAAAGACAGGGAGTTGCCGCGTGTTCCTCTAATTAATACTCGCGATCGTTCCGTTGAAGGAATCTCGACGAACGAACCCGTTCGCACTTCTGACGTGCTGAGAAAGTTCAAAACGTTAAGTATAGAATTTTTTACACTTGAAATCGAGGTCCATGCATGACGCAGAAGGAAGTACGATATCATTTAATTGGCATTATCAATCGGACGATGATCGAAGGAAAGCTCGAGTTCTTCAACGGTGATCGGGAGAAAGAGTCTCATATTTTTCTCGTGGATTCGCCGAGCTCCACAGTTCGGCAATCCTCGTCTGCTGGTAAAAACTATTTATCGAAACGCGACCGCTGGGGCATTCATTATCGCGGCCGCGATTAACAGTGATCGAGTGGTTTTAAGGGTAGAATACAATTAAAGTGGCACCGAACCGTGTGCGTGAAACGTGAAATCAGCGCGAGACGAGAAATCGTCGTTGGTGACTGTGACTCGGAGCAGCTAATTTCGCGGTTTACCGTTTCGAAAGATGTGGTCGTAATTGCTCTCGAGCCTCCTTTATTTTTCTATTCGACGTGCGCCGAGGTAGAATCGAAGGGAAACGTCGAGGGATGAATATCGGTGTGTCACACGAAAATGATCGCGTTTACTCGTCCAAGTCATGCGATACGTGAACGATTACCAGAGCGAATCAGAGATCTCGTTGCTCGACGACGTTCTCCGTGACAAAATGTTTTTATCAGGATTGGCCTCGACACGAAATGAAACACATTAGGGAATGAAAATAAACTCGGATTAATTTTGATTCAAAAGATAATACGCTGTTAGCCACGGTCTACATGTCGTACCGAGAATCATCGCCGCGATTATGTGAAAAGTTCCCTTGAACGAGTACGACGACGGTCGTCGTTGGAAGGTCCAGCGGCGGAACGAAGTGCTTCTTGCCTTTCTTCTCGCTGTGGAACAAAAATCCAGCTGACCTGAAAGAGGCTCGTTTCCGGGGAACTGGACCGAAAACGAAATCCAGAGCGAGACGAGACTGTCCCTCGGAAACGGTAAACGCAGCTCGCCGAGCAACGAGATTACCTCGGACGCAAAGAGAACAAAGTGAAAACTACGGTTTCGGCTCGCGAACAATTTCCGACACCGTCGATTTAACGTTTGGCAGGCGTTTCAGGGTTGTCACTCTTCTGATACATATCGTTAGATCGTTAAGGGGCTTGCCGGGCAGATTTAAAGTAGATAATTGTCTTGGAAAGCTTTCGCCGGGTCGTTGATAAATCAATAATTGATCCGATCAGTACAATTTATTTTTGCCGCGTCGAGCATCGTATAAAAGAATTATTATTCGTTTCAATGTATCGCTTGAATCAGTTTAAACGTCCAATGGAATATTGGGTATAAATTAAGGATTATTGAATATTTTCTCTCTGACGATTTAAACGATTATGACAGGGTTCTTTAGAAGAAAAATCTGGTAAACGACCTGGACGAATACTTTCCTGAATATTAGGATAAAAAAAGCAGTGTGTAAACCGCTTGAATCCGCGAACGTGTCGATCCATGAACATATCACCGAATTTCTGACTCGTTAGAGAATTGTCGATATAATTATACATACATATATATACATACATACATACATATATATATATATGTACATATATATATATATATATACACAACACTAAATAGATGGTGACTGAATAATTTTCCTGATAGTCGATCTAGACAGAGAGTCATGAAAAATTGATCGAATCTTTTCTTAAACGTATCCTGGACTACATAATATATTATATATTTGTTAGAAATCGTTTGACATTTCGACGGGGGGGAAGCGTGATGTCAATTGGTGAGTGAAAGTTCGCCTCCGAGAACGAGAGCCATTCGCGTTTTAACTAAAAATGAAATTAGACGCATATGTGATTTTGGAAAACGGCGGAAAGTATAGCCTAAGTTTGTGAAATCCATGCGAGGCCTTACATTTGCGAATTCGGAGAGAGCGAAGGAAAGAATTTGGTCGATCAGTTTGCGATTCAGTGGCAAAAGGAGGAATTCTATCCCTTAGAAATCTATTCTTCATCTACTTCTTCTTCTTCTTCTTTGGGGGAATCGTTCGTCGTCACCTCCTTTCGAATCTTTCATCAGAGTCCCTAATCAGACCGCGGATTTCGACGCATAGTTAAGAGAATGAAATATACAGTTTCAATGTTCAACGTTTTTGTCTCAGATAAAAGAAAATCCGCGGTGCACTTGACCCGTGACCACCGACGTGGAGAGAAGCGAACGAAGGCTCTCGAATGCCTCTCACAGGGCAATGTAATTCGCTTGACCTTAACGTAAAACATATCATTTTACAATATTGAACAAGAGGAATAACAATAGTTGTACTGCCCAAGATAGCGTGCGTCCGTATGTGTGCAAATATAACTATTACGATATTACTGTATATAGCGTGAGTGTTGAACGAACGTGGGAAGTTTGTAGCTAATCAGACCGACTCGGTCCCAATTTCAAATTACATCGTACAACAAAACGCAAACGCGAAACCATCACACCAATCAACGATTGACTCGTGTCAATAACAATAATCGTCGAGGCCGATTTCGATTCGCTGTGTACAGGCTCCAACATCTTTTTGAAATTCGGCTATAAATTTTTACGAGGGTATCGAATCCTTTTCGTTTATAAAAAAGAAACAAAAATAGAGTCTGCACAGTCGATAGGAATCCGTCTTTATCGTCCGCAACGCACGACTTTGTCCACAATTTGCACGTTCGACGTAGAGAGAGAAAGAGGTAAGTGGCGACGCGTTGAAAAGTGCGTCGCTACGATAATTCTGATACGGCTCTTGCGGCCAGGCTTTTGCTACTTTTGTATGAAAAAAAAACGAAAAACCAATGCGTCGAGAGACCAAAGAAGAAACCAAGGGAAAGCGGCACGATTTTTCGATTATCCTGCTATCGCGTATCGCTTACAACCGCTGTTTAAATTACTCAACTACTCCGTCGCGTTCCGCTCGCTCGTTCTGGACTCGCGTTCTCTCCTATCGATGACCCGTAAAATAGGAAATATAAAAATAACGATCGTTGAATCTGAACGGTCATCGAGCTCATCCAGACTTTTATTTTAAACACGACGATTCGTAGGTCGTTCGAAAATAGCGTCGATCTAAAGATTCTGAAAAGCCCAGAACGAGCTGCAGAAATCGCGCAACCGAAGACAACGAGAGAAACTAGGGAAAATAGAGCGAGTCCAGTGACGAAACTTTACAATCGTCTATATAGTCACGAACATCGTAGACATTCGAAATGTGTATCTCAGCTTTGAAACCGTCCGGGGAGGATACAACGACCCGGCGAGACGACGAGACGAAGCAGTTCGCTACGTGCGAAGCCGATCAGAGAAAAATTGATTCAGAAGCTAAACGGTAAAACGTGATACACTTTGGAAAAATTGCGAGTAAGTGTGGAATCTCTGAAGACGTTTGAGCCGCTTCTAGATGTAGTCTAGAGCTCCTCTCGTATTGGACATATCACATTCTGCCATCCAAGCACCGATCGAATGGAAAAGAATTTTCAACGAGATTTGTTCGTATCTAGAAAAAGTGCTTTACACAAGTGAAAACTAAAAGGAAAACTCATATCAGTAGACAGTACGCTATAGAGGTATACAATTATAGTCAACAGACGTTCGCGTAATTATTAGAAATCGATTATAAAATACGGAAAGTATATATATATATATATATATATATACAAATAGCTATATATATACTGAGGAAGAGAAAAAAAAACAAATATATAATATATGTATATTACACGCGAGTGGGAGAGAAACTGATCTGAGAAAGGGAGAAAGGGAAGAGATGAGAGGAGGTGTAATGTATTCGTAAATCAGATATTTTGTACGTGACTAGAGAATTATTCTAACGAGTCCGTTTTCGTTTCTTTTTTACATACGTATATGTACATAATAGATATGTATACACACACGTGAGAACCACACGCGATAGACGACGAGGAAGCACTTGAACGACCAACGAGACTAACGCTTTTCCACGAGATACAAACGAAACGAGGGGATCTTTCCCGTGCCCAAAGAATCAGAAAGATCTGACAAACGTCAAATTATAGAAACCGATGTGAGATGTTCGAGAGTGAAACGCAGTTACAAGAGAGATTTTCTTAAACCTGAAACAGGAACGAACAGCGTTCTCCAGCAGAAGCTTCTGCACGATTGGAAGACACATCGAGGTGAACCGTCTCCGAACGCCAAAGACGTCGATGCGTATCTATCGAAAGATCAGACGAGTGACGTCAATCATGGTGACACGACGCACGAACGAACCCTGTGAGAATCGTGCAAGACGTGAAAGTTCGTTATTGAAAGTAATTAAACTAGGATGAAAGTAGAGGAACGACGAGCCTGCCGTACACAGTGATCGTAGTAGATCCCGAGTCCGTCCCGAAGCGACAACCTTGAAAATCCACGAAACTCGAAAAGTAACAAAACTAGGCCAGCCTCGAAATATTTTTCCAAGCGAATTATTTTTGATCCCTCGCTTTCTGTCCGCATACTCAAGCTTGTTCGGGTAGACCGTTCGTTCCGTGGATCGCCGAGAACTTACACGCCTTGCGGACGAACAGAGAATTCAATACGCGAGATCGAAGCCGTTGCGGCACGGTTGACAAAAATTTAGTTTGACTCTCAGGTAGACGATTGACGAGGTAAATCGAATTTTTGGGAGCGGAGTCGAACGGGGCGCTGCTCAGGGTTCCATTCGGGAGGGAAGGGAAAGGAAGCGTGTCTGACACTTGATCAGAAGAGAAAAGTGATAGGAACGCGAAATATCGCGACCACGTACAATAAGACATATCATTTTTTCTAATATACTCAAATACGACGTGTATTCTCGTCTAGACAAGTTAGGGGACTTGTGAAAAGCCCTGCAATATAATCACGATGAAAGTAACAAAAGGAAATACGAATTCTCTTTAAGAGATATTAATTATTGATAGAAGAATGGAGGAGTCGATACATTCCGAGAGATATAAACGACGAAACTAGGGGACCGTAGCTAGAAAATATTCGCAGAAATCTAAACTCTGTATTATTTATTATTATTACTATTATTATTATTATCATTATTACTGTTATTATTGCGATGTGCCCTGATCTTCAGGGTGTCGAGACTCTCGCGACTCGTTCGAGAAGGGATCAACGATCGAACGACAAAACGCGACGGTTCGAAATATGATTTCGATTCTATTAATCATGTAAAATGAATCGCGCGTCCGAGGAGGCGTCTCATGATCAGGCAACTGAGAAACTACCACGGGACATATGAAATTTGTTTGCACATAGGTACCTGAACGGTTCGACTATTTTTATTAATTTATCAACGCTGCGTAAACAATCCCAAAGAACGAGAGATGCTATGAACGTTGATTCTGGCTGACCGTTCCCAGGCAATCTGAATCGCTGTAGAGCGTGGAACGTCTGCGAGATCTGAAACAAAAATGTGAACGATTTGGTTTGACTGGGAGGGTGCGACGGCTGCAGGAAACCGTCCAAGCCTCGATCGCAGGATCGATGAACAACGATGAACCACGTAATTGAAATGAATCATGAAATCGAAGAGAAGCGTAGGCCGTAGAAAAGCGAATTACTAACTGGGAAACACGAACTGAAGATGTTCACACTCGTTTAACGCCATGGAACGGACGCGAGAATCGCTCGTTTAGATGTAATGGTATTCGTGATAGCGTCGAGATGGAGATACGAATGGTGATCAGCGAGATCGTGGCCTGCACGCCGAACGACGTTTACAGAATTGGTGCATCGAACGAACGAACGAACGAACGAAAGAACTCTGTTCCAGTTAGTCCGGTGATCTACGTTATAATTTAGATTCTCTTTTCCTTCAGCTGCGAAGCTTACACGATTTCATTGCGTAACGCCTGAGAGGCGAAGTAGTATACTACGTCTCTTCGGTTGATTAGCCAGCATCCAATTCTAAATCGGTATAACGAGATCAACGCCAGTTAGAAGTGGTTTCTCTGGAAAACCGAATCGATGCTTTGAGGAAACGAGTGTACAAATAGCACAATTATTTATTTCTCGTATATCTACTTAGGTTTGTTCGATAGAACGAAATTGTATTTTCTTACGGTGATAATTCAGCGTGTTCAGTCTCTCTAACTTATTATTATTATTATTATTTATAATTGTCGTGATAGCCAAAGATAATATTTATTTAAATAATTTATACTTGGAAAATATATGAATCTCGCTGTTGCATCGGCACCTGCACAGTTAAACGTGGTTCGTCGTGTAGACGCTTAACGAGATCGACACGCGTAATCATATAGTATTTTCTGTGTAAAGAAGCTGTAATGTCCGTGTATTTATTTGCACGTTAGTTTTCTGTTCTGGCGAAGTTCCGGCAGACCGCTGGAGATCGGGTACAGCGGAATCTGAATACACGACCGAACGCCTTCGAACACGTTTCAAACGTTCGTCGGAGTTGGAAGTTCGTTCGAATCGGAAACGACCAACTCCGCGGGAGTATCTCTGATTTTATATACTCCCGTTGTTACAGTTAAATAATTTGATCGATCGATTCAATTGAAATCTATCTCGCGGAGTTCGCCGTCTCGATTCGAGCAATAAATAAAATAAAATTCTTAGCCGAAGTTGCTCGATCCGTGGAACTCGAGCCGATTCGCTGAAGGGAGGTTGTAGATATGAAATCAAGTCGAAAGTCGGAGCCTGTGAATTCGACCAAAGTCTCGACACCGACGAGAACGCGTCGAGTTGAAAATTGATCGAGATAGTAGTAATAACTCCGGTGAGATGTAAACCGTTGATTAAATCTGATAGTAAATCGAAAGAACGTTCCAAATTGAACGTGCTGATAATTTGTTGATTAGGATAATTGATCGAGAGGCCGCGACACGTCGTTGAAGCGTCGATAGGGTCGATTTGATCGACAGTATCGACGTTGCTTTAAATAATTTCGTTTCATTTAATGAAACAGCGAAGATTGCAAGCTCGGTCTTCGACTTGTCTATGTAAATTAAGCACGTTGGTAAGTGCGTTAGGTGAAAGAAAGAATTAGCCACGTAAATCAATGTCACGAGACATCCTGTGTAATAGACGACCGAATTGTGATACGTTTTTAATGTTTAGAAGCCGATACCTTCGTCCGCGGAGAAAGTCGGCCGTCGTCGATTTGATCGGTTCGCGCCCAGCAATGTCGTTTACACTGTAACATCATTTATTGTTCTCCACACCTGGTTATCGCACGTACACTTGTTAGCCGCGCGAACGATCATCGACGCGCGGCAGGTCTCGTCAAGATATCGAATTCGAAACGGGCACGGCGACGAGATCGTTCGTCGTTCACTCGGAGAGAATCACCATGCGATTTAGTTTGTGAAATTTCGAATGACCGAAAGAGACGGTACGATCGTAAGTATTTGCGACGGCGGCGTTGTGATATACGGTATGCATAATTTATTTCCTTTGTAGAAAAACCGATATCTTGATCGTTGCGACGTTTTCTCCGGTGAACCAATATCGGGTGTCTTGTTAAAGAAACTGTTACGACGAGTTCGCACGCGCGCGACTCATGAGTGTGAAATTTCAAATTCGATGTCAGACGAAACACGTTAATCGACGATAGAATCGTATACAGCAATAAGCGGTCTATGAATTCGGAGCTTGAAACGAGTATTTCTGTTTCCTTACCTTCTTCGGCTTCTCCTGTCCTGCGGTTGCTCAAAGGATACTAGAAGAACGGGGTGAACACTAAAAAAGAAAGAAAAGAAAAACCGATAGAAATGCGATTTTATTGATCGATTAACGTCGCTGTGAGTGTGAAACGAAGAGCGTCTCGATCGAAACCGGGGGAAGCGACAGAGGACAGAACTTGAAAGTACGGGGAACGCGCCGGGAAAAGATGAAGACTACATACGTTTTTACTTTAGCGATCGTACGTGATAGTAACGGAGGAACGGGCTGATTTACTTTTACCAATTTCGATCGGACGTACGCGAGCGTAAAGAGGGGGAAGTAAGGAAATGCGCTCCATCCTCCGCCAACGGATAAACGCGAGACTCGGAGAGCCGCGGATGTGTTTTAAAAAAAAAATGTGAAAAAAAGCAATTATTATCGTACCCTATATACATAAACAAATCGCGCGTTACTTTGGTGTTTTCGTTGAACAAGAGAGATAAGAAGATCCCGTCATATTTACGAGTAGGATGATAAAAACAACAATAATAATAATTAATAATAACGATATTTAATATAATAATAATGATAAAGTAATAACGATATGATAATGATGATATATTAATATTAATATGATTATGAATTAGTTGCAGCTTTCTGTGTAAGGTTATTGTGATATTTAAAGTGGAAAAAAAAAAATAATAACTTTACCGTAGCGATGTAAAATTAAGAGGATAAGAATCTGATCTGTTTAGCGAGCAAACAAAATGAATTAGATCAGTATGTCGACGGGGCTTTTGAGCGATGCCTCTCCGCGATCGGAACCGGCATAGAGGAATCAATTAAAAGAGAACAAGTCGAAAGAAAGTAAGCGGCCCGCCGCGGCCGCGTCCTCTCTCCTTTTTTTCGTCACCTTCTTCACGGGCGAGGCTCGAACGACGATCTTAGGCCTCGTCAGAATACTGCCGGATACGCGAGGACATTCCGAAAATCGATCGCCGAAGTTGAGTCGATCGAGCTGTTCGTTCTTCCGTGTAACGGACAACAGCGAACAACGTAGGTAGACGAACGAAAAAAGAGAACGGAAGAACGAAAGCCTGGTCGTCGTCGTCGTTCGTGACGAAAAAAATGATCGCGACTCGATCGTTCGGAATGTCCAGCCTGCATCTGGATCAATCCGTCCATAACGTGTCTCACGCTCGAGGCATTGTTGCACAAATGCGTGCATATTAATCATTGGGACTACAAAAACATATCATCGTATCTATAATGATAATGATACCGTACATATATACATATATATATATATATACACATAATATATATATATATTTAAAAAAAAATATTAAGCAATAAGATTTTATTTATATGCCCGTAGAAAAAATAATAAAGAAAATTGAAACGATGAACAACTGCATATCAACAATTGTGTGTCTGGGCAAGGATTAGCTTATAACTGTCCCTCCCTTCTACGTTACGCGATTCCTTCGAACGTTTATACGATTAACGTACGCGTTTCTTTGAATAATATGTAATAATGCTAATTCGATGTCATTTCGTCACCGCGTAACACTGTTCACTTGGTAAAAGATTACGCGGACTGAGGGGACTGAGGAACGGCCTCCGCGGGAAAGAAAGATGGAGCTAGTGTTTTCCATACAATTTTACCGCCTTTACCGGTGTACCGCATAAACTCAAGTACGCAAAACACGTCCGTCAGAAACAGTGCTAAGGCCAACGTAATTTATTTGATTGAATTCGGCGTGAATCCAGATCGAGAATGGTTCATAAAACCGGAGAAACGGCTAATTCTTTGACGTCACCGGGGGAGGAGAAACTGCAGGTGTACGTTAGAAAACAAGCACAGTGTAAGAATCTTTCGGAGAAGTTCATACAGACGAAAAATAATTACTCAAAACAATTCGCTCACATCTACTCTGCCAGACTTGGTGAGCTGAGAGACGTATTGATTCCTCGTGTTCGAGCTAAATGGGGTACGTTAATCTCTGCTTTACGACAGCGTTCGTTGAGGGTTATGAGACTCCTGTGAATTATTTCTCCCTTCGTTGTACAGGCAAAGTGCCGATCGTAAAGTTGGCCGAGTTAGAAAATTTGGAAGGCGAGGAATGCGTGTTGATTGGAACGCTGTACAAACACCAGCTGTGGAAGCCTTCGATTTTGAGAGAACTGAGCGACGATCATCAGCTTATGTTTCCTTCCTCCAGATCGGATTATTGCTCGGAAGATGATCTACCGTTTTTAGAAGATGAAATGCTGCGTATTAAATTGATAGGCGAGAAAGTGAACTTGAAAGAGATAGTCACCGGGGTGGTTTGTGCGATCTTAGGCAATGAGAACAGTGATGGAACGTTCACGGTAATTTCAATTTTAAAACAAGCGTCAGCTTGATGTTCTCCTGTTTTACGCTTAATACATTACTCTTAGGTGAAAGAATGGTGTTTTCCGGGATGCGTGGCGAAAGAATCTTTAAAAGAATCTACGGCCAAAGGGAATTTGGTAATCGTCTCTGGATTAGACTTGTCTAACAGCCATATGAGTTTAGAAGTATCCCTTTTCGTAGAGTGGCTGTCTGGAATGGCTGGTGCTGCGACGGTACAAAAAGATAACACTTCCATCGTTCGTCTTATCATAGCAGGTGAACCGTGCTTCCAATCATTCGAATTATGCGAGAGCATTGACACGTTCAAATGTGTTCTTAGGTAATACTGTAAGTGGAAACGGTACACAATCGGCAACAGTTGCAGCTGCAAATAATGGGGAGATATTAAAAACTGTGGATTCTTTCCTAAGCAATATAGCAATGCATTGTTTCGTCAGTTTGATGCCAGGGGAACACGATCCCACTAATATCATGCTACCTCAAAGGCCACTGCATCCTTGCCTGCTGCCAAAATCCACCAGGTTCTTGTTCACGTTAATACTACAATAGATAATATATGTATGTTCATTTTTACATATAAGAATATTACAGATTAGAAAGCTTCAAGTGTGTCACGAATCCATGGATTGGAAAAATCGAGGACAGAGTGATCGTCGGTACCAGTGGTCAATCGGTACAAGATATAATTAAAGCAACAGGTGATACTGTTACTTCGCCACTCGAATGGCTGGAGAAGACGTTATTATGGAGACATCTGTGCCCGACCGCTCCGGATACATTATTAGCCTGCCCGTATTACGAACAAGATCTGTTCATTATGAAAGAATGTCCAGATATATATTTCGTGGGCAACGCGGAAAAGTTCGAAACGAAACTGTGGAAAGGCGAGGAGAATCAAACTGTTAGACTGGTGTCCGTCCCAAATTTCAGTAATACTCATACTGCCGCGATAATAAACTTGGAGAATCTGGACGCTCGATTCGTTTCTTTTCACGGTTAAAACGTCTTTTATACGCTATTATATTTTTATACCTGTATATAAAATTTTGATACAAGTTTGTATGTACGAATAAAATGATATTGATAAATAGATAAACGATCGTGTCAATAAGGAATAATGCACCCGTGTTACATTGAAAATGAACGCAAGCAAAAACGTGTTCCATTACTGCCTGTTTATTTTCATTCAAAATGTGGTGTACAAAATCTAAGCGCATAACTTTTAAATATAGGTATGTTCGACTAAATATAAAATATGTGATAAGAAAGAAATTACATGTAGTATCACAGATCTGTTAGAGAATTATGAAATCACAGTGACATGAGATTTTGAACATGTAACTTGTTACTTAAATAAATATGAATTTATGCTTTATAAATTATAAATAATAATAAGAACGTAACAGTCAAAATGCAGGGTACGAATTACATGATTGCCTTCCGTGTCTCGTTTATTTTCTGCGACGACTAAAACAAACCAAGTGCCATTATCCCTTTACAACTTCAACTTCTTACCTGTGTAATGATATGTAAAAATATTAAATGAAGAATATGATCACGCGCGTGTTCAAACGTCACGAGGTAAACTGCTTTTGACTGTTACATGTGTATGTGAGATGCAGAAATCATGTAAAGTCGATTGAAGAAATAATAAACAATGATGAGAGAAGACGAGTATAGAGATATAACGATGTACATAATACAGGGGCACGTACAATAAATTATCGTGTGATATCTTCGATCGAATGATCTTTCAATTGTTATACAATGAACATCCTGTCTCGTCGCAACTAGAAAAAATATGCAACATCGAAGGATAATGCTACAGAACATTTCGATTGGCACTTTTATTAAACGTTTAAGAGTTCGATTATAATATAAATACATTTCATCATAGGTTTCCCTTTCTCTCGTTATATCAGTAGAAAATTGTCTAATTCTGCTTCGTACGAGATTCTAACTATGTTTATAGGACGCCACGTTCGGTCTCTCTCTTTTTACTATTGATTACAACAATGAAAAGAAAAATATAACAATACCCTTAGGTCCTAAATAAGAGGATGATCATCCATACAATTCTAATGCTTTGGCCGAAATAGCAATACTTAAAAAGCAAAAAAATTATTAAGGTTTTCCATTAATTTAAGCAGAATGAAGTTATAAAATTTATATTTATGATACACTTTACAGATTCGTAATACCATTAACTTAAGGTGCATGTTACATGACCGACAAATATATATAACAATTGACAGGTAGCTTCTGCATATAGTAACGACGACGTAGACATACTGTACGTATTAAAGGTTTTATCCTATCTCTTAGCCGTCGGACGTATTCGTTCCTTTTCAGTATCCCTATCGTCAGCTACTGTCCATTCAGGATCATTGGGATCCTCACCCTCTATGTCACAACAAGCTGATTCTGTCGAATCTGATTCCGGAGAATCCATTTCCCCATCCTAGAAACGAAATATTAACGTCCACCTGAATGGTTGCAAAAGGGAAACCAGCTATCTCGTCCAACGGTTATTCTGCGTATAGATATATATATATATATATATATATATATATATATATATATATATATATATATATTACAAAAAACTATAGATTCAAATATACAAGCGTTGTTAACGGCTGAGAAAAAAGAATCGGCAAGCTAATTCGTCAGAACGACTCTAAATGCTCAGAGAGGAGAAATGATAAAAACATTATGTACAACATCTCGAAACGCAATGGAGATCTCTTTGAAACGTTGCTAAGTATCCGGCAGATGCGGTATGTAAAACAAAATTAATCGGTGTTTAAAATGAATAAGCATCAAATGGCACTGCTTACCAGGGAGAGCCTCGAGAGGAGCCATGAAAGTTGGCTCAAAGTTTACATTAATAGTCAGTACGAGAGGATAATTTGTTTGTATTGTATAATAAAAAACTGTTCACTTAGATAATCGACAATTCGAACGTTTAATAGAAATGGATTGTACGTACATCATCCGGCTTTTCTTCGTCGCGGGAGCAAAGAGACGCCGACGAGGCCTGCCAATGCCCGTCCGGCATAGCTTCCAACATTTTGTCATAAACCTCCTCGGATAATGGGAATACCCTCGGTTCGTACGGCAAAATCTAACAACGAAACGCAACCTTTTTATATCTAATATAGAATCCAATCACCTCCCGAACCGTTTCTCAACAATTTTGATCACGTAAATACCTCGTTTTCATCTTCATTTACCGAGATATTCGTCTCGTCCTTCGCTACTCTGAACGTAGGCGTGGCACGACGTCGCAAAGCGTTTTGCAGCGCAGACGATCGATGCGCGTGGTCCGAATTGTGTTGGTGCTCCGGGTCTTGGATCTGCGGAGTCGCGGGCGGAGACGTGATGGGAGACATCGTGTCCCCGCCGAAATCGCTCGCATGCGGAGACATGGGATCTAAGACGACAAAGATCGACCAATTTAGATTCTGACTTTAATACGATCGTTAAACTCGATTCGTCGAAACCGAGGATAGATGATTTTATCATCGTCAATTAATCACCTGGCGTGTTCGCGCCGCTGTCCGCTCGGCTGTCTGTCCTTCGATTATGCCGAATACGCGACTGATGCGGCATACTCATGTACGTCATAAACCGCTTGTTTTCTTCCCTTTCGCTACGCTCGTGTCTCAAAGCAATAGTTTCATCCGACATATCTTCGAACTAAAGATATTACGTGCAGATGTGAGATTAGTACGGGCGAAATAAGATTACTTATAATTTGGTATTTAAAATAAGCAGACGCGCTTACATCACTGTCTTGACTAGGCCTGTGCATAACACCGTTTTTAATGTCCAATTTCGAAGGCTCATCGCATAACCTCCACCTTAATAAACGGTACGGCGATTATTAATAATTACTGATAGAAAAGGAAAAGTGCGTAAAACTTGTTTCACAGGGTGTTACTTACTTCGGTGTTAGTATTTCTTTGTATTGTAATTTTTCGAGCCTAGTTGCAGCAGCTACACTGTACGGTATAACTATATTGTCGATATCGTATGAGTTTTGCCTCAGCCTCCTAAAACAGAACATTTTTATAGCTCTCCTACTATCTATTAATTGACGACAAGTCGGTACAGTTGATGACACTAACGCGTGAGAGGTGGCACTCTTTTCTTTAACAGTGTTCTTCTCTGTAGAAGCAGCAGTGTGGTGTAACGGAGAAGGCACTGGAGACGAATGCTTACTAGAGCTGGAAAGGGCACTAATATCGTCATCATCTTCAGTCGTTAGTTTCTGTACCCTCTTTCTGTTTAAACCGTGGACGCTTCTATCGTGACCGAGCCTGTTTCTCTTTTCCTTCAGCATTTTCTTCTTAATTCCTACGCGAACACAATTAAATTAGCGATAAACCGATGTTGGACGTCCGATCGGTACAATCGAAGATAGACGTACGTACTTGCGGTAAGAATACTCGAGGACGATTTTTTTAACCGGGCCGCATATTTCGCTCTGTGTCCTGGAAGTTTTTTATTTCTTCGTTCATTGGTGTCTTTATCTTTTAAGCGTGTGATTCGTAGGTTTCCCCTTAACATCTTTTGCTGCCATTCCGACGACTTCATAATAGCCTCGAGATGTGTCCCCTGTGTAATTTCTACGCGGGAAAACCAGAAAGATCAAACTGATTACGTCACGAATTAAGACTACGTCGTGGCGCGTAAGCGAGCATGTTATTTACCATCGGGGAACGACAGGACAGGATGAAAGGAAGGATCTACGAGCGCAACCCTTTCCTGCACGGACATTTGTTCGATCGGTTCCTGCGGTTGCGTCGGATCCGACCTTCCGGTGCACAGAGCACACGGTGGTAGTACATGATCACAGTTACATCTCACTGTTGACGCTTTTGCCGCGCGTTTCGAGACTTCGTGTAACTTGTCTAGTTGCAACAGTTTTCTCTTTCTATAAAAACTCCAGACAAACGGTCGAGTTCTACTGGCCGGCAATTCACCTTCCGGCGAATTGTAACGCCCCGTGGAACCCGGCAACACACCGCTGTACCCGTTCACCGTTTCCGCGTTTTCGAGTATAAATAGTCCTTTGTTAGCTCTAATGTGTCGTTGCAATTCGTTATGCTGTCTAATCCTATACTCCAAGTCTGATATTTGTGCTTGCAACCACGTCCACCTCGCTGCTACACCCGCCCGATCTTGGGCGTACCTCCACGCTGCTCTTTTCGATCTACAAGCGACATCGACATCAATGAGTGCACGCTGATTCCCATCTCTCAGCGAAGATGATTAACCGTTTTATAAACTACGAGATGGAGGACGGAATGAAAACATCTGAAACCGGCCCAAGGCAATTTTCGGTTTCCAACTGTCGGAGATCAGACGACGTGAATATGAAGGAACTGACTATGTAAAATCGTATCGTCCATTCTGGTGGAACTCGGGACAAATAGAATGATCCGAAAGATGAGAACGCTATTTTGGAAGATGCGAAATAGTAACTTACATAGATACATGTTGTTGATGCGGATTGTTGAACGATTGCATTTCATCACAACTCTCTCCACCACTACTAGACGCGGTACAATCGGAGTCTAAATTCGATTCGACAACGTGCAACTGGGTGGCCAAAGGTCCAGCCACGTTCTCTATCTCTTCACCCTTAACTTTAACTTGAGGCGTGCTGAACACCGGCTGACGGCTTCCATTGTTGCCAGAAGCGCCACCCAAACTATCGCGCGATCCATCACCGAAGTATCGGCAACATAATCGTTGACGATTCACGCTGTTGCTCTGGGCAACACACATTTTCTCAATCTTTTGCAAAAACGAACTCAAACTACTGCTGATACCAGGAAAGTTCCTAACGTTCGACTTAGAACCAATGTTGACCAGTTCTTGAAAAAGATATTTCTTCACCCCGTGATGGGCAAGCTCGAGGACCCCGGTATTCTCCTCCGCGACGTGCCTGCCGATCAATCTCGCCTGAAGTTTCCTCAGTCTTCTCAATAAAAATGCACACTTCCTCTCACTCTCGTGCTGTTTCTGAGCAACAAGGTCCTGTTGCAATTTCAACGTGTTCACCTTCTGCTGGTCGACCGCGTCGGCGATGTTACAGATGCTCATCACGTCGACGTCCAATAGATCCCGTTCGAAGGACGAAAACCCTTCTTCGGGCATCGAGAACATCTCGACGCTATCTACGGCGCTTTGGACCGGTTCCGGTTCGTTGCTACCGGCGGATATGTTTCCCTCGATCGACTTGATCACCTGGAGGATCTCCTCGACGTTCTGTCCGATGTCGCCGACGTTGCCCATGTTGGATTGCTCGTTGTCGGTATTTATGTCGGTGCCGAAGGCCATTATCTGATCTACGTCCAGATTCTTATTGTCTCCCGTTGCTTCTGAGCCTACCAAAGGCAAGTCTGCGCTTGATTTTAAGAAACCCATATTGTCCGCTTGATCACCCATAGATGGGTCGTTCATTATAGTATCGGTCAACTTTTTTTCTGGACTGGCCGGAACCTCCGGTTGTTCGCAGTCCTGTTTGATTAATGCCTTCTTCGCGATCAAGTCAGATCCGTGCGTAAACGTGGACAAGCTATCAAGATCGTTGGCATACTTCGAATTGATGACATCGCGGATGAGGTCCTTCGATATACCGTGTAAGCACTGTTCATCGATCTTCGATGGTTGCACGTTCGCGGAGACGACGAATTTCGCCAGAATTTCGCGATTCTGGCACACCTGCGTAGCCTGCTCTGGGGAAAGAAATCCGCCAGCTGGAAGGGATGGGAGCAATGTTTCAGGCTTTTGAGGACCGCCTTCCGTCAGAGCAGGGGCCATCACTGCCACTGACGCTGCCAGTGCTGCGGCCTCGACATCCAGAGGCTCCCACGTGCGTTCGCACCCACACCTGCACTTCACATATGCCGTGCTCACTCCCATTCATCCATCACTAGTTTAGTGTCCTGGTTCCTGTATTATATCTCTTGTTACCCTCCGATCCGATTTCTTTTCTTTGCTCTTCTCCTTTACCTACGCGCCTTTATCTCATTCGACACACCGTGTACTATGTCGTTCCAGCAGCGTCCTCCAGTTTACTTAATTTCTTCATTTGTATGCCTTGAACCAACTCCTGAACGTTAATTAGCCTGCAAGTAAATTATACACAATTAATATGTATACAATCGAAACGTTTGTAAGTTTCATTTCATATTAACTGTGATTCAATCGACGTATGTAATATCTGTACATTAAATAAAATCAATACTTAGTAAACGATTATCCTTTTCTTCTTAAACACTGAGCACGATATCTAAAGCAGAATTTTTTTTATATCTACATAAATGACGTGCACCCGGATGTAAATAATACGCTCCATTATCTAACATTCTATTGCCCACTGATTACGATTAAATAATCGTTGACGACAATATAATCAGATAAGAAGTATACGTGCGAGTATAAACAAATCGTTCAACGTTTTAGAAACGTACAAACGTTAGCGGTAACGTTTAAACCGATTTTAATTAATCGCGAGGAGCATGGAAGAAAGAAAATTCTGCTTACCTCGTATCGTTTGCCCGCGGAAAGGAAGCATATTCGATGGAACGATTTCTCGGTGGGTCAACATCCAAACACGCGAAAGTAAGCCGAACCGGAGAACGTCAGATAGGCGAGGCTGTTCTTCCCACGATGATACGTTCCGGTATCGGATCACTATTTTCGAGCGGCGATCTTCGTGCGTGGAGCGGGTCGAAGCCGGGGCGGTAAGCGGCTGCCGGCGAACGATAACAACGCGTTATTAAGAAATCGGGATGCGTCGAGACGCGACGGTGGTACGACGCTTTAGAGGCGGCGATCTCTTTGTACACTTCGCTGGCGAGTACCGGGGACGAAGTGAGAAGAACAACAGCGAGAAAAATATGCGGCGTGAGAGGCGAAGAGGGAAAGGCGTCCGGACGATAGGAGAGCTTCTTGCTCGTGGGTAGAAATTCGCGGTCGGCACTATGATATGGAGCGTGGCACATAGTTACACTACATATCACTACCGAATGTACATGTTGCGGAGATTAATAACAGGTATGCTCGCATCGGTTGACGCATTCCCACGTGATTACTCGTGTCTCGAATTTTAGAAAACAGCAGCAGCAGCAGCAGCAGGAGCAGCGGCAGCGGCGGCGGCGGTGGCGGCGGCGTAAGCGTTTCCTCGTCGTGGCACCGGATTCGAAAACAAAGATAAAAACATGCCGCACAACACCACCGCCGTCCTCGTCCACAACGGTGACGGCAGAGTTCTTCTTTCCCGTCGGGCGAACGTCTATTGCATAATGACGCGCAAGATTTGTATCCTCGGCCGAAAGCACTGATGATCGTGTACTGGAATCACACCGCGTCCGTTGTCCGATGTCCACGTATACACGAAGAACCTTCACACGCGCGACATCCGCAGAGATGTCGAAGGCATCGGGAGCCGAATGTGTAAACCCGGGTATAGAAAGGAAGAGAAGGGAAGGAGAGGCGAGCGAGAAGGAAAACGAGAAATGTATATACGTGTGTGTATGTGTGTGTTCGCGTGTGTGTGTGTGTGTGATAGAGAGAGAGAAGGGAAGAGAGAGAACGCGCGAGGCACAAAGGAAGGAAGGAAGGAAGGAAAGAAGAGAGAAAGAGAGAGATCGAGAGAGGACACTAACGTGCTTCGCCTCGTGAACAGCGTAACCACGAGACGTGTGTTAACGCAGACGTAGGCGCGTTTCTACACGGCAACCAGCAACGATCGGTTTGAAAAAACGTGGCCGAAGAGGAGGAGCACACGGGAAAAGGAGACTAGCGGCTTCCTTCGCGGTACTCGCGGGTAGCGTATACAATGGCGGAGCAAAAAACAGATTCGAAGGCAGCTTCTTTTGGCCAGTTTCCCCTTCTAAAACGCTCACCTCGGGTCGGGGGCGCTCGACATAATCGCACATACACCCGTGACGATCCACGAATAATCGAGCGTTCTTGCGCGCTACGCAACACGACACGACTCGCATGCAACACCACACGGATATAAATGTCCGTCACACCCAATGCACGATAATCCCTTTCGGCTGATTCTTCGGTTACGAGAAACGCGCGTTCCCAGCTCCTAACCGTTTAATGCGCCTCGTTCTCGGTGTCGGTGTGTACGTGATCCCGGCGTTACACAGGCCTTCCCTCTTCAAACACAAATACCGACGTTGATTTTGGTAAAAGTCACACACGAGCAACGCGAGCTATTTATCAATAATATATAGGAAATTCGACCAACTTCGCTGTTGCTGTAGCGGGATCGACCAATACTGCAGTGCTGCTGCCGGATGTGGCCTTCGTGGCCACGCTATCCAATCGGATTCATTTTCTATCTATAATGTCGGCGCGTACAGTCCATAGAATTCCCAGCTCGATACGGGCAACGACGAAAAACCCTAGTCGAGGCAACGCCACTTTTCCCGCTTGTTTCCCCCGGATCATACCACTCACACCTGCTGCCGTTGATGGCCTGTGATGGCCTGCTGCGGCTGCTGCGTGTCAACCGAAATTCTTTTCTCCTATGCATACCGACGAATATATAACGACATATATTCATGAATACATGTATCCTCGATCATTTCCCCTTCATTTGTTTCCAAGCAAATTATTTACTTCCTTGATAGCAATAATTCGAATTCAAATGTTATTGCGTTATTATGTAGACGTGTGATTTCAATAATTTGTAAAAGTTAATACACATGTTATTAAAAGAAATGACTCGTGCAAAATTGAAATTGCTGAGCAGTATATATTCGCTTCACATTGTTCTCAGCTTGCTTCAACAATAAACAAGAATAAGTGATATTTTGGTCGGAATATTAATGTCAGATAATCAAATCCTGAATAGATTAGGATAATGTGTAATAAGTAGAGTACTCATTATTTATCGCGTGAATTCAAATATTTGTATACATTTTTCTGCGTGTCGACTATATAATTATCACCAGACTGGTATCGTCAGATTCATCAGATGGCGAAGTAAATATACAAAAACATCGATGGCACGCACACTAGTGATCTATGCAAACAGATTACCGATACACACTGTGCATAGATTAATATCTTTCCAAACATGATAATCGGTTGCATAAAATAGTGCCAAGTAACGATTAAAGAGCATTTCGTGTACATAAAACAATTAATAACCGCTTTGTAGAATGGACATTGCCAAATCGTTATTTAACGTTCGAGATCATGAGGGTTACGTCGGAAAAGAGGATCATGACGTTAGTATTTACCTCACTGCTAAAATAATGAATGATACAGCTACGATTGTTTGAGAACAGACATCTTTTTTAATTTCACTTACCTGAGGCGGTTCACATCTGTTAGCATGCTCACTCAAATTCTGTTAACATATTGTAGAAGAAATTGGAGACCGCTACCTCTGAGGATGAGTACGAAGTGGAAGTTTCAGGATTATGTGGAGAAGTTTTATCTCCCGCGCCAGGAGGACCTTTCTCTGCTCTGACACCGTCCATGTGGCCTCAGGATATTTTAGCTAAATTAAATCAACCGGATGATCCCAATTCACAGCCTGAGTACAGGTGCTTATAATAAATTTTTTATAAGACTATATTAAGACTAATGCTTTATGATGTTTAGATTTGATGAATTTGGATTTCGAGTAGAGGAAGAAGATGGTCCAGAGCAGAGTTCAAAAAAATTATTGGGGATCCCGTTCGTTGAAGATCCTCAACACAGGTACAGAGAAAGATCGAGTTGAATTAATAAGAAGAATTAATTGAATTATTGTACACACAGATTGCAATGGGTCGCTCTCTTAGAGTTTAGTCATAACAAAGAAGTGACGGAGCTTTCTTGGCAGAACATAGATAGAAGATTGCCCCGTACAGACAAACTGCGGGATATGGTCCGGCACGGTGTACCTCATTCTCTCAGACCTCAGATTTGGATGAGGATGTCAGGTACACTTATTACGCTTTTACAGGAGATGTAAAAGTACAACAATTAATTTTGTAGGAGCGTTGCAGAAGAAATGTTCTTCGGAAATAATGTACAAAGACATAGTGAAAGCATCGAGTAACGACGCGTTAATGACCAATAAACAAATTGAAAAAGATTTATTACGCATCATGCCGGCGAACGCGTGTTTTAGTCATCTCCATAGCACGGGAATCCCACGTTTGAGACGTGTCATGCGTGCCATTGCTTGGCTGTATCCTGAAATTGGGTAATGATTCTTCTATGAATTGGCGTTCAAACATACATGCGCAGGTCATTTTATTATCAATTTATTTTTGGAAGATACTGCCAGGGCACAGGAACGATAGCGGCTTCCCTCCTGTTATTGTTAGAAGAAGAAGACGCTTTTTGGATGATGGCTACGATAGTAGAAGATTTACTACCAGCATCTTATTATTCGTCCACATTATTAGGTACGAATGTCTACAGCAATTAGTGAATTTCAATGCGCTGATTTGAAAGATCGTCGACAGGTATTCAAGCTGACCAGAGAGTACTTCGTACGTTGGTGTCCAACTACCTTCCGGACATAGACCACGTTTTGATACAACACGATATAGAATTAAGTTTGATATCGTTACATTGGTTCTTGACTTTGTTCGCGTCTGTTGTACATATGAAAATACTGCTACGTATATGGGACATGTTCCTTTTCGATGGATCCATAGTCCTGTTTCAAGTCACTCTTGGAATGTTAAAGATCAAAGGTGCGTATCTATTAACATAAATTTATACACGATAAAATATTCGGTATATTTTTAGAACATGAATTGAGAGAATTAGAGAACTCAGCGCAAATATTTAACGCCCTTTCGGACATACCCGGAGATATCGACGATGTGGATCAGTTGTTTAACGTACGTATTCATTGTCTTTTTCGACTCGTATGAAATATAGTTACAGATAACGAATGAATCTAATGTTTTTAGATATCCTTGGAAGTGAGTGGTTCGTTAACAAACGTTTTGGTAGAAACTCATAGACGTAGGCATTTAGCTTATTTAATGGCAGACCACGGTGGATTAGTAGGAAACCCCGATGCTGTACCAAATTTACCAAAGCAACACCTCAACAGGTATATTACAGACTTAGGAATTACTGCAAGTGATATAGTTATCGTAATTGTTTGCACATTCTTTAAGACGCCAAATGAAAAGGAGCAAATCGATGTTACAAACATTTTTGTTCGGGAGTTACGAGACCGAAGACGATGTGAAGTCAAAGAACATTCGACAAACCGGTACGTTGATCGATCGAATTTGATAAAGCATCAAAAGTTACATTCCTGAAATATTTCAGAAATATTGGTCGATTTAAGAGAAGCTGTTTTGCAAGTAGCTCGACATTTTATGAACGTCGATCCGAAGTTGAGTAACATTGCGATGGTGGCTGACTACAGTATGGAAAGCCACGCGAAGGACCATGATAATTATGTTAACGTATCGCGTACCAGGAAAAGAAGAGCTAAAGCATTATTAGGTACTTTCCATCGACACGCATCTGACTATAAAAATCTTACAATTCGTGTATTCCAGATTTCGAGAGACACGACGACGACGAACTAGGTTTCCGGAAGAACGATATAATTACAATTATCAGTCAAAAAGATGAACACTGCTGGGTGGGAGAACTGAACGGGCTGAGGGGCTGGTTCCCAGCAAAATTCGTCGAATTATTAGATGAGAGGAGTAAACAATATACCTGCGCAGGAGACGATGCAGTCAGCGAAGCTGTTACTGATTTAGTTCGAGGAACCTTGTGCCCGGCTATGAAAGCAGTGTTAGAACACGGAATGCGTAGACCATCGTTTCTAGGTGGCCCATGTCATCCGTGGCTTTTCATCGAAGAAGCTTCGAACCGAGAAGTGGAGAAAGATTTCAATTCGGTATATAGTAGATTGGTACTTTGCAAAACGTACAGGTTGGACGAAGATGGGAAAGTCCTTACACCGGAAGAGGTAGTACATTGTATTTAATAGAAGTATTATAATCGACTTATTACACGTATCTTGTTTCGTTTCAGTTACTCTATCGATGCGTCCAATCTGTAAACTTGACGCACGACAACGCTCATGCACAAATGGACGTAAAATTACGATCCCTCATTTGCCTGGGATTAAACGAGCAAGTGTTACACTTATGGCTCGAGGTCTTGTGTTCGTGCGTAGAGATCGTGCAAAAATGGTACGAAGTTCTTCATAAAATATGTATCTACATTACGAAGATAGATCGACGATTTGTATATACATCGTTTTACATTATGTTACAGGTATCAGCCGTGGAGTTTTATAAATAGCCCCGGCTGGGTACAAATTAAGTGCGAATTGAGAATATTAAGTCAATTCGCGTTTAATTTAAATCCTGATTGGGAATTACCGCCGAAGAAGGAACAGTCCCAACCATTGAAAGACGGTGTTCGCGATATGTTGGTCAAACATCACTTGTTCAGTTGGGATCTTTAGTATACGCTCACTGATCATTTTTAGATTAAACAGTATAAGAAAAAACAGAAGGTAATCGCGTAGTACAAATTTAATTGCTTTTATGTTTGTCAGTGTAACGTGTGCGTGTGAGTGCGTGTCATAAAGAAATATTGAGATGTAACACATTTTCTATGTACAATATTAACTATATACAAATTTTATTTATCGTAAAGAGTCTCGTTGAGTATCGAAGTATTATTTACAACCGCGTTAATTTGTAGTAAAAATGAATTGTATATATATATACGTAAGTTAGATGAGTACTGTTAATTCTATCGAAAGCACGAAATCGTTGAACCAATCTAACGCGATAAGCATTGTACTTTGTATTGTAAAAGCTCCCAGTGATGCTTCATTTATTTAGATCTCGATTCCGATGTATACAGATATCTTTATAAAAGTTTTTAATCTGAATCTGAATCTTTCTTTAGTGGGAGATCTTTGCCCTTCAAGAGATTCTTAAGAGGGAATTTCCTGTCTTTACGACAGCACGGATCCATTAAATTATCGTCGATGATCTTTATGTTCAATTGTTCAGCCTTTTCCTTGGCCAGAACCGACGGTCTGACTTCGTGTTTTTCAAACTTAAACGGTTCCCACCTATGCCTGTCTCTATACTTTTCAAGGGTCGAAGGATCAATAGATAAATCGTGGCTGTCCAAAGCGTTCTCGGCTACCTCCTTCCCGAAGTCTGCTTTACACTCGCATTTTCGTTTTCTGACGTGAATGAGATGTAGATCCATGACGTTGGTACCGGTAAGGCCAGGTTTAAATAAATCGATACCTTTCTTAAACCTCGAATACAGATTGTAAGAATCATTGTTATTTAAAGTGTTTTCAGGCAATATACGCTCCACCTCCATCGTACGAAGTATAAAAGGTAACGTCTTGTCCAAGTCTTCTTCGTCTTGTAACATCTTTTCTTTATCGACAGGCTTTTCCTCTGGTTCGTATATCTCATCCTCATCATCTTCTTTCTTCTCCTTTTTCCTTACTAGAGAACCACTCAACTCCTGCATCTTGCATATCTCTCTACGTGCCTCGAGTTTCAAATTCAGTTGTTCCTTCTCTTCTTTTTTCTTCATCATAGCTTCCTTCTTTTCATTTTCTTGAACTATCACCGTCGAAGCTATGGATTTTACTTTCTGATACAGATCGTGAATGAGCGGCCCGATCGCAGGATAGCCAAACGCACCTGCAGCGTCGGTAGGACCGTCTTGACCATCGGTGCCTGCGCTCAACATGATCACCTCGAATTTCGCAAACCGAGGATAGCTCTTGATCTTCGCCAGCCAGTCTAACGAGAAGTGTAACGCTAATTCTTGATTCCTGCCACCCTTTCCTTTACCTTTGAGAACCACCGTTGGTTCTCCTCCTCCTATCAACACCAATCCCTCCTCGCTTATGTTGTCGATTAAATTGTAAATCTCGTCCACTTGTGGAGCAGTCAACGAGAGTATAGGGATATCTTTCACCCTCTCGAAGAACTCCTCTTTCTCCAGAATCTTATCCACTGCGAGACACACGAGGCTAGTCAGGTGAGTATACGCCAAGCTGACATCGTGCACATCGCCGACGACGTCTGATCTCAACTTAATGGGCGTGAGTTTATGATTGTACGCTTCCAAAGCAGCTGCCTCCATCGCCACCGAGTTATTCCCCAAAACGAAATTGGTCACATGCTTGAACTGCTTCTTCCTCTTAGCTAATAGCTTCTTATCAGAGAATCTTTCCTTGGACGTCAACAATTTCTTTACATCACCCTCCACTTTATCGAACAAGTTATACTTCTTCAAAATAGCTACCACTTCCTTCGGCCTCTTGTTAGAGTACACCGTTGGGCCACTGGCAATTAATTCTATAGGATCACCTACGATATCTGACAGTATCAAAGAGAGTATGCTGGCTGGATAAGCCATTCGAGCCAGACCACCACCTTTCACCATAGACAGTTTGCTTCTTACTATGTTAAGCTCTTTGATGTCAGCTCCTGCTGCCTGAAGCATTCTACATACATGCAATTTGTCATCGGGATCTATCGCGGGTCTCGGCATGTAAAGTAACGCGGAACCACCACCGGATACCAATACGATTAAAGAGTCGTCCTCTTTCAATGATTCTACTAAATCTATAATGTTGTGCGTGGTCTCGTATGACCTCTCATCTGCCTGATTGTTCTCGCCGCCCTCGCAATAGTCTACCACGCTATCTCCTATTCTAGGAAAGTATGATTTGTCTTCGGAGTTCCATAAAGTTTCTACAGACGCAGCAGGAATGCTGACGATACCTTTCTTCAAACAGTCACCGAGCACATGCTCGAGGACCATTGCCATACCCAACACAGCTTTCCCAAAACCGACCATATAAACGTTCTCCTTTAACTCGAATTGCAGCTCGTCTCCAATGTACAACACCCCTTTCTCGTATCTAACTTTGTTCAATACGAGAGTCTTCGGCGACACGGCGTGAATACCGGCGAAATATATTTTCTTTAATATAGTCCTAGTCTCCTCGAGGGCTTTATTATCGTTCGACATTTTCCTACTTGTAAATTTGACAGTGTTTACCAGGTTAGATCGAGAAAGAATCGGCCTACTGAAATAGTAGCAAGAAGATCATATATGAATACGCGGGTCACGTATTGTTAAAGACAATTAAAACACTTGCCTACGTTGCGTCAATTTATGTAATATCTTATTACAGCGCATATCTTTCTCTCTAAATCACGAACACATTCCTACCGAGTAGACATTATCAGATGAACCCGAGAAAAATTTCGTTTACGTATTTATCACTGCACTCGTATAATGAATTTATATTATTTTATACTGTATCGGACTTTAGACTTTGTATAAGTAAAACGTATCTATGACATGATCAATCAACATAGCCAACAAATATCTATGCACCGAATGGAATATTCATGTACGTTAAAACCGTCCGTTTAGAATTCGTTCTTAATAACTAGACTTTAGACGACATTACGAATTATAATACACGTAAGCCACTTTATTGAACGCGTAGAATGATCTAGAATAAATCAGATTTTATCGTCAGGTGTTATCGTGTTTATTGATAAACGAGAGATATCTCACGAAGCAAATATTTGTGGCTCTGAAAAGAGCCGTTTGTATAATTGGAGCCGAAGCTTGATGATTTAACCGCCGAAGCCGTAAAGGGTTCTTCCTTGTCGTTTCAGGGCGTAGACCACGTCCATGGCGGTCACAGTCTTCCTCTTCGCATGTTCGGTGTAGGTAACAGCATCACGGATGACGTTCTCGAGAAAGACCTTGAGTACACCACGAGTTTCTTCGTAAATCAGACCGGAGATACGTTTTACGCCGCCACGTCTAGCCAAACGACGGATGGCAGGCTTCGTGATACCTTGGATGTTATCACGAAGTACCTTCCTGTGTCTTTTTGCTCCTCCTTTTCCCAATCCCTTTCCTCCCTTTCCACGGCCAGTCATGATGAAGACGAGAACTTGGATACGTCTAACTCCGAACAGTGAAAAATTCGAAATGCGTCTTCCGCACCACAGTGCTCGCTCTTATATGCAGTATCGACCCAACCGTCGTTCGAGCCTCCCACCAATCATTGCGCAATTCCAGGGCCGAGGGTGAGGGCTGATAGGCAGGCTAGTGGGGATTAACATCTGCCGCACATCTGCTCCAAAGCTAAGCTAAGTTGATCAGAGAGAGAGGGGATTTAACGAAGGCTATATAAAGAGGAGTGATATCTGGATGAATCACTCAGCAAAAATTCTCTGACGAGGACTATTGTACCGCATTTGTTGACGCCATGGCTCGCACCAAGCAGACTGCTCGTAAATCGACTGGAGGAAAAGCTCCTCGCAAACAACTGGCCACTAAGGCAGCTCGTAAAAGTGCCCCAGCAACTGGCGGAGTGAAGAAACCTCATCGTTACAGGCCTGGAACTGTCGCTCTCCGAGAAATCCGTCGGTACCAAAAGAGCACCGAATTGTTGATCAGAAAATTACCGTTTCAACGATTGGTTCGTGAAATCGCTCAAGATTTCAAGACGGATCTCCGTTTCCAAAGCTCTGCCGTGATGGCTCTTCAGGAAGCCAGCGAAGCTTACTTGGTCGGTCTGTTTGAAGATACAAACCTTTGCGCTATTCACGCTAAGCGTGTGACCATCATGCCGAAGGACATCCAATTGGCACGTCGCATTCGTGGAGAACGCGCTTAAATTCTTTTTTTTATTATATTAACATACGGCCCTTCTCAGGGCCACCAAATGTTTCTACGAAGGAAACTCCCGATTCACTGCATTTGACCCTTCCTTAAAAACCCCTCACATTATTCTATAACGGTAATTGCCGTTGCTCAACAAGTTCAATGCCGGATTTAAATATTGGTAGGAAATATCTTCTACTCATTCTATCATCTCTAGGGAGTAAGCCGGAATATGCCAGAATTGAATTATATTAAATAATGAATTGTATTAATAAACGTAGAATAATACAGAGTACGGAACAAATTGTACAAGTTTTCATAGTCAAGGTATTTCTCAGAGTCGATGCGACGATTTATGGTACAATACGATCAAGTTTTATTATAAGAGGTTTTCTGGCCTCTTGCCGGCCAGTTTAACCGTAGTTGCCTCATTTCCCGCGTTTCGTTTTATGATTCACGAATGGCATGAGAGGCCCCCATTGTTAAACCGGTCCCAACAGGCCTAAAAAAAAACCCAGCTGCGAAGACCTCTCACCTACCTGAACTAAGGAATTTACATTTGCTGTATTGAGAATTATTTTGTGTTGCGTACACAAGATCTTTTGTTATGAATTCGTCTTTCAATCCTTCTTTACAGAAATTGCTTTGCAATAAACTTTTCTATAATGCTTTTGTGTCTGGTACAAAACATAAAAATAATAAATCGAGTTAAATGAAACTATGTAAGGACAGGAAAGATTATGGAACAAAACTAAAGAATTCCTTCGTTAAAATGATTTGGGCCCTGAAAAGGGCCATTTGATAATATCTAAAGATATAGGAGCAACTTATGCTTTTTTCTCGGTCTTCCTCGGTAGAAGCGCTGCTTGGATGTTCGGCAGGACACCTCCTTGACTGATAGTGACTCCACAAAGAAGTTTGTTCAACTCTTCATCGTTGCGAATAGCGAGCTGTACGTGTCGGGGTATGATCCTCGTTTTCTTATTATCACGTGCAGCGTTTCCCGTCAATTCCAGAACTTCGGCAGCCAGATATTCCAGGACTGCAGCTAAGTAGACGGGCGCGCCGGAGCCGACGCGTTCAGCGTAATTTCCTTTCCTCAAAAGCCGGTGAATACGGCTAACAGGAAATTGTAATCCTGCCTTAGACGAGCGGGACTTTGCCTTAGCTTTCACTTTCTGTCCTTTACCACGGCCGGACATCGTCGATTCTTGTGATTTCGCTTGTGTGAAAGAAACTGAATGCCAGATGGTGCCTTGTGCAGAGACGAGGTACGAATGGTGCCTGTGGAAGCAAGAGCTTCGATTATATAGGCTTTGAAGGTGCCAGCTCCCGACCAATCGGCAGCGAGCACCTTTCGTACATAGTTGAGAGCTGACCTTACATCTGTTTATTATTATTATTTCCGTTATTTTTTCAAATCATCTTCAATATTTACTTTCTCGATTATAATATACGAAAATATTAACGGAAAATTATTATAAATGTACACGGTTGAACTACATTTAGGTATTATAAGTACTATCGAGACAGCTATTGGGCAATTATCCGATAAATGTTATCGTTGCTCCAGAAATTGAGTTTTATTTTAAGAAGGTTCCAAGTAAAACCATTTGGAATACATTTAATGATTATTAAGCATACGAAGTCGAATGCCAGGAACAGGAATATAAACGTACTCTGTATAACGTAACATACGTTCGTACGTTCTTACTTCATTATCGAACCAATTCGTATTACTCTGTAAAAATAACATTTTAAAAGCTGTCTATTAAAAAATAATAATAATGTAAGGGAATGAGATCTATTAATATACGCTATATTACGTTTAAAAACAAGTGTCTTTTGATTCTGGAAAATGAACTGCCAGAAATTACTCTCTCAGATGGAATGTACAATTCTAAAAATAATAGAACATATTCATGTTAACTCCATTTTTCTTGTAAAAAGAAAGCGTCCGTAGATAAGTACAAGCATGTGTTATAGCGTAACAAAATCAATTGTTAAGAGGGAGAGAGAAAGCGGTCGTTTCCTACAGCGCACCAGCGGTGTCAAGCTCGTTTCTGATTGGACAGGAGCTGGCTTCGGTTTGGTAGATATAAAGAACCCGTCTCCTCCGGAACTCATTGGATCGTACACTTTCAGAGCAGTCGCAAGACCGTCACTAATTTGTGAAGAATCCTGAAGTCTCGATTTTTGTCGTTATGCCTCCGAAAGTAAGTGGAAAAGCTGTGAAAAAGGCTGGCAAGGCTCAGAAGAACATCAGTAAAGCCGATAAGAAGAAGAAACGAAAGAGGAAGGAGAGCTATGCTATTTACATCTACAAAGTGCTGAAACAAGTCCACCCGGACACTGGCATATCCAGCAAGGCCATGAGCATCATGAACAGTTTCGTCAATGACGTGTTTGAGCGCATCGCCGCCGAAGCATCGAGATTAGCCCATTACAACAAACGGTCGACGATCACGTCACGTGAAATACAAACTGCTGTGAGGCTCCTGCTACCCGGTGAATTGGCGAAACACGCTGTGAGCGAAGGAACCAAAGCTGTCACCAAGTACACCAGCTCCAAATAAATTGTCGCTAACGGAAACGATTTCATCATACCTGACTCTTCAAACCAAACGGTCCTTTTCAGGACCAACAAATTATAACTACGTGTAGCATACTCGTTTATTCGAAATTCGTCGTACCACAATCTTTCCTTACTTTCCTCTTACTATGAGATAAGAAATCTAAAATTTTGAAACTGCTCCAAGTTCGAAAAGAACGCTGTTTATAAACATAACGAACAAAGACCGAAATTGCAATGTAGTAAATATAATATAAAAATTTCTATTTATCTTTCTTTGGCGTAAGTTTGGTATACGTAGAAGTCAAAAACACTATCTACTTATTTGTTCAGTCTTTGAACACGTTCGAACACGTTTGCATGCACGTTTTTTCTTTTCGATGCACGATTCATATACGAAAATGCTGCGTGAAGTTAAACGCAACGTTCGTTTCATTTTCTCCACTAAATTAAAGTTGACGAGCCTGGTGAGAAATTCCCTAGAAAGTATGATAATCACCGATGTTGGGTTTTTAAAACGCGTGTGCATGCCAATAAATTCTCTGACACTACTGTATGGTACAGTAAGATGGAAACGTTGTGATTACGGCTACGAAGATAGAAGCGGGATTATCGCGAGTTCGTTCGATTCCACGTTTATTTATGAGAATTGTGAGCAGGCTCGACGTCGGATCGCGTGATTAATTCGTGGACGCTGCATCGTTGATCGATATCTAGATAACGTATTCTTAATAGACTGTAAACATGTCTGATGAAAAGAAGGTAACGCTTGGTAACCTCGAGCCCGACATCAACGGCAAGCTATGATTCAAGTGTCCTCTATTTTTACAGGAGACTAAAGCAGAATCTGAGCACATAAACTTAAAAGTCTTGGGACAAGACAGTGCAGTGGTTCAGTTTAAAATTAAAAAGCACACACCCCTCAGGAAGTTGATGAACGCTTACTGTGATCGTGTGGTAAGTCCTTGATACTTCATTATTATCGTACCTGGAGGAAACAAAATTATGTCATCTTCTAATAATAGATTCTCATCTATTTCGTTTATCGTTCTATAAAACGATCGATGATCATATGTGTGAACAAACATGGTGTGAAAATTATTGTATGCCTATAGGGTCTGGCGATAGCAGCAGTGAGATTTAGATTCGACGGACAACCTATAAATGAATTAGACACACCGACAACCCTTGAAATGGAAGAAGGAGATACAATAGAAGTTTATCAGCAACAGACAGGAGGATTCTGTTGAGATTTAAGATTATCAATCAATAGTTTAAAAATGGACTCAATAAGAAAGAAACTTCTGTTTTAGTGCTTTCTTCCAAAAAATATTGATCGACGTTAACTATAAATTCTTTCTTACAAAAGAACGATTAATTTTCATACTGCAATGTGGAGAAGTTGTTTGAACTTTTTATATGTATCAAATTCTACATCTAGACCCATTCAGGATCTACTTGTTCGTAGTATCTCCGAGAAACAATTTTTTACGTACATTTTGTATCGTTTTATCATCATATGATCTAACAACTTGACGTTTGACCGTATTCTTACTGAAACTGATTGCTTTTTTGTCTTCTTTATAAATGAATTAGGAAAATTATTTTTGTACGCTTTCAACTTTGCATTAATTTGGCTGACGATATTGGGGAACAGGCTTGTGTTACTATTAGCGGTATACGTTGCAAACAGAGACTCGTTGGATCTCTCGCATTTTGCACTATATAGAAAAAAAGAGAACATCTACACACATCGTACGAAACATGTACTACTTACCGAAACGTAAAATACTTTGTAAATGACTTTGAGAAGAAAACAGAAATACAATGTCTCAGATTATCTTAATAAAATTCATGTTTTTTAGGCCCGTTCGAAATGTACAGATAGGCAATAACAAAGAGAATTAATGAAAATATTGTTTTCATATTTAATAATGTAACTATTTTTAAAATATTCATAAAATCGAATTTCGTTTATTTTATTACTTCAATCCCTCAGTGTTAACATTGTAATTTTATTTTCCAGGCAATCACAGCGTTACTTTGTATATGATCGATAAATAAATTGTCTTATCTTTTCTATAAGAAACCGTTTTATCTTTCATTCGGAGTAAATCATGTAAGGATAAATCGTGGATCAAGTGATTTTGAAGTTCTCTAGATTAAGTATATTGTCGAAGTCAGAAATAGAAAGCAAAACGTTCGTCGATGCTGAACCATAATTAATCGATTAGTTCTGAGATTTTCGAGATAGAAGAAAATTGTATACGATCTTTTTGCACGTAATTGCAGTACCTACAATTTTTAAGCATTTTTCGAAGTTTTGAGAAAAAATAATTTTTATTTTTCCGAGAGTTTCGTCAACTTGTAGTGCGCATGGGTCAAGAACAGCCTGTACCCGCCCTTTTCTCATTAGTTTTAGCACGTGGTGGTGAGAGGCGCTGGAAACGCTGCTAACAAAAAAATACATTGAGTGTCACCCTCCCTGTCGTGAACAGTCATGGGCCGGTATTCAGAGTCGTTGCTTATTCTTAAGATTGTCTTAAGCATTTGCTTAAGCACCTGTTCCCTGTACAAAACAAGGACTGGAAATGTGGGTTAGACAGGGGTAACAAATTCTTAAGACGGTCTTAAGAATAAGCAACGACTCTGAATACCGGCCCATGACTGTTCACGACAGGGAGGGTGACACTCAATGTATTTTTTTGTTAGCAGCGTTTCCAGCGCCTCTCACCACCACGTGCTAAAACTAATGAGAAAAGGGCGGGTACAGGCTGTTCT